GGGTAGCAGCCCTGTATTTACCGTGGGAGAAGTGTAAAGAAGTGAGGCTTTGAAGTGTTCAGAGGCTGCAGCAGCAGGTAGTTCTCCAGGGACACAGCTGGGTGCCTCACAGGTGGCTTTACAACAGCCTTGTGCATGATACCTAATAGCTGAGACTTCTCTGCTCATGCTGAGCAGTGTATTAGTTGTGGGGTAGAATTCCCTGAGGGTTTGAATTGTTTTATTGGTTCCAAGCAATTTTCTGTTTTGATTGGATTTTTTTTTCTTGGGATGAAAACGTATTCTTGACAGATCATTTAATAAAATGATGCAGTTAAAATTGATTAAGTTTTTCCTTTTGGGAAGCCTGTGTTCTTCACAAGTGGGGAAAAAGAATGCACACTCCTTGATTGCTTTCTTTTGTGATCAGGAGGCGTGTGTGTTACATACACCCTGTGGCAGTATTATAAGAACACTGTATTTACAGTGTGAAGTGTTCATAGCAGCTTTGGGGAACAGAAAAAAATTCCTATTTGAGTCTGAGAAATCCTTTGCAGCACCAGTGGTGTGTTAGAGCTCTGCCTCCCTTGCTGAGGATTACACCTTTTTTGTGCTTTGGGATTCCTTTTTGCTTTTTTTTCTTCAAGTAGATAAATGCAAAAGGAAAACTAAGAGCAGGTAATAGGAGTGGGATCCCTCTCCTGTTGTTCTCAGTGATGAAATCCTTTTGAAACACACAAACACCTTGGTCATCTGAAAGAATCTGAACTGTGAGAGAATCCAAATGATCTTGGTCTCTCTCCCAGAGGGATGATGCTCAGTAGGCTACTGTGTTCATCCATTCATGTAACTCTTAATAAGATCCCTTTTACCTCTGATGCCTAAACAATGATGGAAATGCATGTTTTGGATGTCTGTATTTGGCTTCATGCCTTGGAGTTGTGTATTTTTCATATTTACTGTTTCTCACATGGCTTATGGTAGCATGGGCTCTCTTAACATCTCACTGTTTTTCCATCTGCTGTGAAACTCATTCTTCCCATGAGGTATATAATGGTATCTTACACAACTTTTATATCTTCCAAGTCCCAGTGATTCAGACTTGCCTTATGATTTTTTGAAAAAAAAATTAATTCTATTTTACCATAACAGAGTTTAACTCTTGTCTTGATCTTTTAGTTGCTTTTCTAGTCTTGGTGATCCTAATCCAGTTTGGGACTAGGGTTAGTACTCATCAAACTTGATGAACACAGTGATTTTGGGTACTTAATGAAAGAGAATGATTTTGGTGAAGTGTCTGGAACCTTCCTGAAATAACTGAGCTGGGTTCATGTGCTGATTGTAGTACAGAAGAGCTGTTTTTTAAATCCTGTGTTTTGTTTTGACCAGAGTAGATTCTGCCTTCTCTATAATCCAGGGATGGTTCTGCACGCACTCAGATGTACAAATCAGATCATTAACCACTGAAGGAGGTGTAATGGGCTGTGAAGTTCTGCTTTCAGTGAGGTCCCTTTTCTGGATTAAGTATGAAAATATGGAAAGGATGCTTAATAGACAAATAACATCCCGAATTTTCCTCCTGCACTTCTATTGGTGTAGGCAGAGTGGGTGGATGGCTTATTAATGAGGGCTTTGGGAAATTCAATGACTTGGGCTTGGCACTGGTGAAGACAGTGACATTTTCCCATTAGCTTTGATGGAAGCAGAATTGAAACTCTGTCTGGGATTTCAGAAGTAGTTAGATTCAATACTCTTATGGGCTGGACATTTTGCTGTCATTTGGCTGGCTCTTTCAATTTCTTCCTTTCTTGTCTAAGCAGTGGTGCTGGTTTGAATCTGAATTCAAGGCTTACAGTCTGGCTTTGTTTATTCAGTGAGTAAATGTTTTCCCTATTGACGTGAAGCCCTTGCCAAAGGTCATCTGCTAGCTGCAGTGTGTAGTAAAACCTCAGTCCCATGAGGAATTCTTCCCACTGTTTTCTCCTAGCATTTTGTAGTTTGCACTGCTCAGAAAAATCCAGCAGCCCCTTCAGTACCAGTGTTTCCACTGTGAGTTCACCAGTGTTGTGTGTGAGGAAGAGGCTGTTACAGAACTACCTGAGAAACTTTCTTCCCTTATTCAGTGGAAAAAACCTCCCTCATTATAATAGATCCTGATGAAGGCTGGCTGTGTTTGACTTGTCTCTTAAGATGGAAATTTTACATAGTATGCTTTCATACAGCACTTAAAAAAATCATTTCAAGTGAAGCTGCTGTAGTTTTGATAAGAGTTAGTTGCCCTTTTGTGAAGCGTGGAACAGTTAATGAATGCAGTGACCAAACCCTTGTGTACATGGACACACAAGGGTGCATTTAAGACACTTGTTCTGATGTGTAAGATGACACAGTGAGGAAATGGAGATGGGTGATATGGCAGGGATTGTCTTACTCCTCACCTTTGTAGTTTCTTTGTGGTATGAGAGGGACCTGGAAAAAGCTGCCCATACTCTTTTTAAATTCAGTTTATGAGAAGCTGACATCAGAGCTGAATAAAGGACACTGGTAAAGACCCAGAAGTACATCACACTGCCACTACAGTAATTTTGCCAGATGCTTGCCTTACTTGGGAATAGCTGTGTTAAAACCTCCAGACTCATCTCTCACCCATGGCATTCACATTCCCTGAACATGATTCCTTCACCCAGGGTTTTCTCCTGGGAAGCTGAAAGGCAGCGAGAGAGGCCTCAGAGAAAAGGAGAACAATTCTTATCTCATTTGCTTCTCCTGTGTTGTGCTCACATGTGGAATGTGTTTGGAGATTGTTCACCCACAGGTGATTGTTTCACTGGATTCTGATGTGGGTTATTTTCACTCTTTGGCCAATCAGGGCCAAGCTGTGTTGAGACTCTGGAGAGAGTCAGGAGTTTTCATTATTATCTTTTTAGCCTTCTGTAAGTATCCTTTCTGTATTCTTTAGTATAGTATAGTATTCTTTAATATAATATAGTACAATAAAGTAATAAACTAGCGTTCTGATAAGATGGAGTCAGGTGCATCATTCTCTCCCCTCGTTGGGGTTGCCTGCATTTACAATACTCACCAAAACTTGAATCAAACACCCCTTGCCAATACAACTTGTTGTTCCTAATTCTTTCTCTTGTGAGCAGGCTCTCTCTCCCAGGTCTAACAGTGTAAACAACCACTCAGATCCACAAAAGAATTGGAAATTTCCAGGTGCTGACTTGCTGCTGCAGTGGCAGCTAGTTGGTCAGATATTAATGTCTTGCCAATGGAAAATATCAGAACCCATGAGAACTGAATAGTAATCTGTGTGGGTGTGTATGTGCTCTGTGTCTTCTAGGGAGGCTGTTGATAAAAGAAATCACATCTGTCTGAGTGTTAAAATGTTAATATTTACATTGCTACATTACAGGAAATAAATCTGGATTTTTTTATCATGCGTTTTAGCTGTACATCTCACAGTTTTTGTGATGGATTTACTTATTCCCTTCTGACCTTAAGCAGAGTTTGGGAATGGTCTGATAGGATCCTCACAAGAAGTTTGTACTCCTGCTTGTGTTTCCTCTTTAGTTTTCAAGGGAACATTTGGTAGTTAAATGATCTTGGAAGTCTGGCTTTTAATAAATGGCAGTCAGTTGCTGTTTTTCTTCCTTTTTTTCCCCTTCATAGAATGAAGGAAGAGTGCCAATAACTTCACTATCTCTTATATTAAAACACTAATATTTGCTTAAAAGGATCCTCTCTGTATTCTTACCTCAGGAGATAAGATTTTTAGCTATTTCCTGGGAACATTGCTTCAATTTTGACCATTATGCATATTCTGTGTAATGTCTGTTACTCATTGCTGTGTTCCAGAGAGGTTTTATCAGGGCAGATTTCTTAATGTATCACTAACTGGAAAGAGAAGACAAATAGATAACTAAAGCATAATGTATTCAATCATACCTTTCCAATGAAAATGTTGAACAGCTACTTCACTTCTAAAATGATTTTTTTAACATTTTTAATAGAGAACTTATCCCATCCTGTGCTTTCTGATCCTCGAGAGGTTTCTGTGGGCTGCTGAGGTGGTGCTGCTCTTACAGACTGTAGCTTTACCCTTTTTACTCCTACCATGTTTATGCACAGACAGTGAAGGAATGAGCAGTGTGGGAAGGCTTTTGCATCAGTTTGCTTCAATTTGTCTACAATTAATGTCCAGATCTGCAAATTTTGAGTTAATGACATAGGACTTAGCTTCCCTATCAGATAGACCTAGTACAAGTCCTTCATCTCTGCAACCCAGAAAGATTTATTGGCTTTTTTTTTTTTTTTTTCACTGCTGCTGTGTAGTTGGCAGTGGAAAATACCTGCTGTACCTGTGAATCTTACTGTGTTGAAATTGGTTGATTTGCACAGGTATAATACATTCTGGTGTCAAAGCACTATCTTGTCAAAGGAGTGCAGATTCTTTCTCTTTTTCCTTTCCTCCTGTTACAATATTTCTGAAAGCTGACAGAGACTCTGTCAAACACTTTCAAGGCAAAAAGGTATAATTTGTTTGGAATGTAGTGAATAATTATGCAGACAAAAATCATGCAGCCACACTGGGAGATTTGCTTGGGAGAAGAAACAACAGCTTGTTCTGTGGGCTCTGCTGTGTGTGTGTGCTTCATTTTGCAGAGGCTTGTGCCAGCAGAAATCAGGTAACCAGTGTAGGTATCTAGGACATTAGCTTCAAAGAGTACATCCCAGGCTGTTGGCAGAGCTCCTGGTCAGTTATTAATCTGCAGGAAGTCATTTATTGATGCTCAGGGGGAAGGATGTTCTGAAGTGGCTTTTTTGGAATGCTGGGTGGAAGGCAGGTAAGTGCAGTGCAGCCAGGACAGGCACACCTCAGCTGGGAAATGGGAAACAAAACACACCCAGGAGAGTGATCACAGAAATTCAGGATTGAGTGGCTTTTATTCTCTGGTTCATTTTGAAAAAGTTTCCTGGGGGTTTGTCACAGAAGCCTGCAAATTATCATTTCTCTGTCCTAGGTCTGTCTACCTGGTCCCAGCATTCCAGATCTCAGCGTCGCAGGACTTCGTGCTCCAGAGATGAAGACCGAAAACCTTCTGAGGTATTTCTGGAATTTGATTTGCATTTTGTTACATCTCTCAAAGTACCTGTACACACAATATATCTATATCTTTTTATCTTTTCTGGTAATGGATCCATTTTTTCTGATTTACTTTTTTTTATTTTTTAGATTTTTTTTCCCCCTACATTTTGGCTGGCTCATACCTCCCCTCCCTCAGCCCTTCTTCCCCTCTCCCCCCTGCCCTGAAGATTAGAGAGTTCAGCTGTTGGCACAGCTACTGCCAGCACCAGTTTCTATCTGTGAATTTTGTTGTAGTCTGACACCCATTCAGCATAGCTGCAGAGTCTTTCTTGTGCTATTTTAGGCATCGGGGTTTATTTGCAGCTTGATTTGTGAACAGTGGAAATTTACATTAGGTGCATTTATTTCATAGTTTGTATTGGAGCTCTGTGTGTGTGATCTTTGCTAAAGTGCTTGTCAAACTAGAAATCTGCTTCCTGACAGTTCTGTCTCGTCTAGTGCTTTGAAGAAATGCTATCAGGGGAGATAAAAATCTTTGAACTTTCCAGGTTGGATCAGCTGTTAGTAACACACAAAATGTGATCCATTTCTTTGGAAATGTTCTTGCTGAATCTTCCTGTCTTCAGGCAAAATACTACACTGCAGACTTTGTAGAAGCTGCAAAGAAAGGATTAGCTCTGGGAAATGGAATTTCTCATTTATTGCACTTGCCTAGGACATGTATTCCTTACACATAAGTGGGTGGTGTTGAGGAAAAACTGCTTTATTAATCTCCCTAATGACAGTGTACCTGAGTCTCTGAGAACAGTTTTCACAAGGAGAATGCCATTCAGTGTGAACTGTGCCTAGTACTGGTGTTTTCCAAACTCCTTTGATTGTTGGCTATTAAAGACCTTTTTTTTTGCCAATGTGGAGATCCCTGGTGAATTTATTCTTGTTAACAATAGGTTTGTTTTCCTTAGTTACCTTCCATGCCTCTCTTAGAAGTAGCCCCTTATACCTCCTTTTGAGACCCACCTGGTGAAAGGCTATCAAGAAATCATCTGAGATAATTAGGAGTCGTGCTGTTGGTTTTTTTGGTATCCTTCTGTTTTCTCCTCTCCCTTACCTTTTGCTGTCAGAATCTCTGCATTTTTTGCTGTTCTCTCCTGTTTTCTCAGTCTGGATGAGCTCCTCTTGTGCTTCCCTTTAGCTCTGCTCCCCAGCCTCTCCCCCCTGCTCTGTCCCTGCTCGCTGCTGGCAGGAAAGTGACACTCAGGGGGGACTCCCTGGGTGAAATCCTGGGCTCATTGAACATGGTGGCAGAATTCCCACTGACTTCAGCGTGGCCAGGGTTTCACCCTTTAGCTTTGAAGTGTTCAGTGCTCCTGAGAGCCAGCACTTCTGTAAGCTCTGCTTTCCTCCAGGCACTCTGATTGCATCAGCAGCTAGAGCAGAAAGAATGGTGTCATGGGGCCACTGGCCTGGGAAAAGAGTTTCTTGGCTGTCAGGTGCTGCATTAGCTTTGCTTCTGAGGGAGTTTTGTGACAAATTTATCCAAGAGCCTGAGTTATTTTGGCTCTGAGATTGAGCAAGGTTTGCGTCCCATTTTATATTTTTAGTCTTCTCTTAATTTGACTTTTGATTGCTTTAAGTCAAATCACTTAAAAGCGCAGAATCCCCTGGCCAGCTGTGCTTGTTTGTTTTGTGAGCCCATTTACTTTGTGGCTTACTTTTCATTTCTTGATTTGAAGCCTCACAGGACTTGTAATTTAATTGTTTTAAACATTTCATTATATTTCATTACCAGCATTCACCCTGTTCTTCATATGGCAATTTTTCTCTTTACTGTTTAATGCTGGCAGTTTTTTCTGAACATGTCAAGACAAGTGTTAAGAAAAATGTCATGATTTTGTGCTATTTTAATGACAAAACCAGTGTAGAAACAGAAACATATGTAGACAGAAGTGGGACAGTATGTGTGTGTTGGGAGGGAAGAGAGGTTTTGAGATGCACAGTGTGGCAAGGCAAATGACACTTGAAAACATTCTCAGAAATGTAATTAGCCATCAGATACACTAAAATACTTCCCAAAAATCCTGGCTTTTCAGGTGTGTGGGTGGTGGGTGATGGAAGTGGCTGCCTGGGTTGCTCTCTGTGCACCTCTGGTTCTGCCTCAGCCACACACAGCAGCGAGCTGGGGCTGAGGTGACAGCATGGCCATTGCTCTGGGGCTGGGAGCATGGGTCACTTTGCCCCCTTAGAAGCCTCATAAGGGAGTCTAAGAGCACTGCCCTGAAAATCCAGAGTTTTTTCTGCTGTAGCTGCAGTGTGGGGCTCTGTGGATGTTGTTTCTGACCACCGCTGACTGAGAAGTGTGCAGAGAGCTCTACCTGTCATCTTCTTGTCCTGGTGGTGCTAATCTTCTGTCACCTGGTTGCTTTTTTAACCCTTTCCTTTGGATGAGGCATGGAGTAGTTAGGAATTAATGTTGTGGAGGTGAGGAGGGCCTTGCCTTTTGCAGGGAGCAGGGGGTGGGAAGGGCTGGAACTTGTGTCAGCAAGTGCAGGCTTGTAGTTGGGATGCCTCTGATAGCAGCACTTGGCTTTCTGCAATGCCAGCAGGCTGAAGCTGCCACAGCAGACCTGCCACAGGAGTGAATCCCTTTTTTATTTCATTCTGTGCCTTGTTGAAGACAGCATGGCTGCTTGTTCGTGGCTGCTAGCCCACAGGTTGCCAAACATCCTGCTGGCTTTAGAGCTGGATGCCTTTGCAAAGGCAAAGGAAAATTACAGCTGTGACACAGAGGTGTCTGTAGCTGATTGAATAAATAGCTGTGCTGAACGTGGAGCTACCACCAGAATTCCAGTTTGGGTCTTATTTTTTTATCTTTTGGGTTATTTTTATAAGTACTTGCACAAAGAGTCATCTTCCTAGAATTTCCTCTTGAGGCTGGTCATGGTGGAGTCATGCCTTGATTTCTACCACAGGGAATTTCTGGAATGTCTTGGTATGAGTCAGAGCTCCAATAATTTAAAAAAAAAATTCCAAAAAAGCCTGGGAGCAAAAATGAATCTTTTTTTTGTGCTGCTTGGAGCTCCTGTAGCTTTTATTGCAGCTAATATGGAGGTGAAAGTGAGTAACACCTTTTAGAGCAAGTGTGCAGTGCAGGAGGAGCTCCAGGACGTGTAGTGCAGTTAGGTGAGATGATCCTGTCAGTATTTGTGCCCTCAGCCACCCCTCTCCCTGCCATGAAGCCAATCCCTGTTCTGCAGTGGGCTGGTGGTACAGTGGTGGTACAGTGCCCCTGTTGCCCAGCGTGCTCTGTGCTTACCCTGAAGCTGTGAATGCTCAATATCAAATGTCAGTGTCTCTGTTTTTTTCTCTCTTGGTCCCTCTCTTTGCAGGTGTTCAGAACGGACCTGATCACTGCCATGAAGTTACATGACTCCTTCCAGCTGAACCCTGATGAATACTATGTGCTGGCAGATCCCTGGAGGCAGGAGTGGGAAAAGGGAGTTCAGGTGCCAGTTAGCCCAGGGACCATCCCAGAACCAGTAGCCAGGTATCATTTGGAGGAGTGGGAACAAATACACACACATTTGTGCTGCATTGCTTTGGCTTCCTGAGCTTTGTTGCACAGGAAAGTCTTGGTTCTCAGAGATGAACAGCAACCTGGAATCACCTTTTGGAATGGTCAGAGAGGTCAAGAGTCAGGCCTGTTCTGCCCATGTGAAACACAAATGTCAGAGAACTGTTTTTGGCAATGGGATGTGATGAGAGAACATTAAAAATAGCTTCTATTTTTAAGCCAGACTTGAGCTCACTTATCATTGCTGGAAGAGCCCTTGTCAGGTGTTCCTTCTGCTTATTTCCAAGCCATAGGTTCTTTTCAAGGAACAGTTGGACAAACCAGGCTTAAGGGCTAGAGAAAACACAGCATTTATTTTGTTTTCATAGGGTTTTTTTTGTGATTTCTTTTATTAACCCAAGAAATTGATTGTGCAACATTTCAACTGTTTTAAAAACCATCCAGATGTTCATGTAACTAAATAATGTGAGATTTTCTAGCTCTTATCCAAAAGCCCCTTATTTTCCTTACCATGTTTGTTACACATAGATACTATTTCCTGTTTCAAATTAAACACTGCAGTCCTAAGGGCAGGAGTGTGCTGCAGCCCAGTTTATGCTTAGTAGGGGTTGGAGAAAATAAGAACAAGGATTTTTGCCATTTAATCATTCTAGATCTCTTTGAGTCAGTCCGGGCTGGCCCATAAGGCATTACCAAACATCCCACCAGTGCTGGTGGGACCACAGCAGCTCAATCCTTGATATACAGCAAAAAACTTGTGATGATGGACCACTGATTGCTTCTTTGTAAGGTCTGTATGTGCCAGCTTTAGCCTTGGATTAAGAGGGCCTCAGGAAAGTTTGTTAGCGTTGATTTTGTTCTGTGCAGCCACCTGCAGAGTGCCCCACTAAGAGGGGCTAACCTGCACATCAGGGAAGCCCTGTCCATCCTCCTGCTGAAGGATTGCACCTGGAGCTCCAAGGACAAGGTGGCATTTTGCCCTCTGCTCTGCAGTGCAGGAGATGGGAACCCTTTCCCTGCTCCACACTGACCTGTCCCAGTCCCTGCAGAGGCACACACACACACACACATATGGTACATGTGCACTCACACTGCCTGCTCCTCTCTGATTCCTCTGTTCAGCATCTCCCAAGGCTGTGGGAGGGCTACACACACCTCTTGGGGACTTGGGCAGAGGAAAAACCTCCCAGGGGATCACTGCCCTGTGTCTGTCAGGGGGGCTTTGGTGGCTATAGCAGGTCCAGGTACTCACTTGGGAGAGAGCTGTTCTCTGCCAAAGGCCAATAGAGATGTTGCCCCAATTTGAAGATGGTGAGAGGCAGGGAAAGAAGGCATCACAGGTGTAGGTATTGGCACAGCAGGCACCACTCCTCGTTTTCTTGTGTAGGCCTGCTGTGCACCTGCTGGTCAGAGGGGCCCTTTGATGCCTGGTTATTGTTTTCTTTGCTCCTTCACAAAACACTCAGAGAGCCCTGCCCTGGTGCTGCTGGAGTGCAGGAACAGCTCTGAGCCTGACTTTGGGAGGGAAGGGGGTGGTTCTGTCCATGGAATAAGCAATAGATCGTAGCTGGTGTAGGATGGGAGCCAGGCTGTACAGGGAGCTGGTGCTAGTAAGGAACAGAGCAGTGAATAAAAGGTAGTGACTGGTGAGGGCAGAGGAGCAGGAGACAGGAGTGAGGCTGTGTGGAGATTCACTGTGAGCATGTGCTCAGAATGACAATTCAGCTCAATGGCTTTCAGTCTGTAGTAAGGATTGCCTTTTTTTTTACTTCTTTCTAGCCCAGAAATAAAGCCAGGAAAGGGAGATGTTTTGAGGTCAGAGTCACTATGCTTGTTTCTTCTGTGCTGCTGCTGTGGCAAGGTGCTGCCCAGAGGTTATGGTTTCCACAGAGAGGTACTCTGGAAGGAATTTATGATAGAGAAGTGCCCAGTTTAAAGTACATTGTGAAGTCTGTAGCATTTGAACACTGCGATATGACCAGAAACAGTCTGGGCAGTGCAGCTAGGCCAGCAAGGCCATTCATATTTGTATTTTTCACAGCACCTCAGAAGCTCCAAATTCAGCATTTGGCTCTTGCTCACCATTTCTCGTTGCCTGAAATAAGCTAGAAAAGGGGAAGCTTGAGGGATGTGCAAGACTGAAATAGGTAGAGGATTTATAGAGATCTGTTTGTATAAATTCAGGAGGATGAGGGTTTCTGCTAGGAGTTAACACATTGGGGGCAGAATAGAGTGGGGCATGGAGGCTGTCATGCTCCTGGTGGGGCTTAGGCTGTTCCCAGCAGAGTTGTGGCAACACAGGGTGGTGCAATCTCCTCCCTTGTGGCACCAGCACCCCAAAAAATCACCTCCAGTGGTGGTGCAGGAGGCAGGCATTTGGCAGTGTTGCCTGTTGCTCCTGGAGGGACTGGGGTTGTGTTGTGAGGTGGGTTTCATCCAAGCTCAATTTCAGTGTGTGCTGTTGACTAAGAGTAAAGGGCAATGTACTCTACTGAGATAGCCAGAAATGTTTTTTTCATTTTTCCTTGAATGTTCTTGTGGTCACTATTTTAGTTAAACAGATTGATTAAAAAAAAATAAAACAGTCTTAAACCAGAGTTTTAAAGTGTGTGTATATGGCAGCCACTATGTAAATACAGCATCCCTGCTTTGGCTTTAAACAAGTGTGAATTTCAGGTAAGAGCAAGCACAGCTCTGTCCTCTAATATTTAATTTTATTTAGAATTCCGGCAATGAATTGGATTTCTAGACAACTCCAGTTAAACTCTTAACTCCATTTAAGTTCTTACAATACCCCCAATCAGTTCTGGAAGTGCATGGAGCTGTTTTCCCACCTCAGTGGTGCCAGGTGATTGCTGGGACAGTTAGGTGGCTGCCGCTGCTGCTTGTTAGGCACTTAGAGCAAAGACTTTGGAATTCTCTGGAGCTGAGCCTCTCAGCACTCCTCATGGCTGCCTGCCTTGTCTGTTTCAGAGTGGTGTCTGAGACAAAAGCCGTCACCTTCACGCGGCCCAGGAAGTTCATCGTGTCCTCGGGCGCGGAGCCGCCGGAGCTGGGTTACGTGGACATCCGGACCCTGGCGGACAGCGTGTGCCGCTACGACCTCAACGACGTGGACGTGGCATGGCTGCAGCTGGCCAATGAGGAGTTCAAAGAAATGGGTGAGCACTCAGGGATTTGGTGCCTTTCTGTTTCTTTTTAAAGCTGGAAGTCTGAAGGATAATTTCAGGGGGTACCGGTCGTCGGTTTTTTTGGGTTTGGATTGAAGGCACTCGAGACAGTAATTTGTGTTTGGACTCAAGTGTTTATTATTTCTCATCAGTAAAACAGTCTCATTACTGTGAGTTCAGCAGCTTTTCATTAGAAGGCACAAAATGGCCAACAATCTCTTGTTACAAGGTCTTTTAAGACTAAACTATCCAATTAAGAACTGACACCTAGATTATTTTCCTTTTTATCCTGAGAACTGATCTTTGGAAGCACACAATGTGGATTTTTCTGCCCATTTATAAAATGCTACCCAAACCCATGAAGAAGAAGGAAGAAACTTAGGACAACACCTTGTGCCATCCATCTTGCTTCTATTTACAACATACTAAAAATCCCAAAACTTAAATTTCTCACTGAGTGATGCACTTACACTGCTCTCTATAATCTGTTTCACACTTTTGTGGATTTTGGTCTATCTTGAAGTCTGGGAAACTTTCTCCATGAATGAGGGTCAAAGTCAGTGCTCCCCTGGGGGTCAGGGCACCCCAGAGCAGACAGAGAAATATTCCCAGTGCCCTGGGTCTCCACAGGCAGCAGTGGGAAGAAGTAGTAGATGTATGAGCAGGTAGTAATCATGTGAGCAGAGCTGATGTGATTAAGCCCTAAGATAGATGTTGATAATTCCTGTGTTTTATCTGCTTAGACCTGGTCAGAATCTGGCCACATGTTTTTTTCTCTGCTGCTTTCCATCTCACAAAGTTCCCAGTTTGCCATCTTGGTTCTCAAAGGCAGCATCAGAGAGACCACTCTGGTAGTTTTTCCAGGCAGTCCTATTTCATTATTTTAGCTCATGGTGTTCAGTGCAGAGAAGGCAAGACAAATTGTTTGGCAGGTTTAGAGAATCTGTGCCAGCAGAGTGGCACAGGGAATGGGACAGGAAGGAATTCCTGCACTGATTTATTGGAGGGAGCTCCCAAGCCTCACTCTGACTGTGTGCTGTAGTTCCAAAACATTGTTTGGCAGAGGGAAAATGCTGTGCCAGCTAGAAGAGGTTTAGACATGTTGGTGAACACTTTTGGTTTTTGTTTTGGCCCTGTGGCAGTTCCCTGCTTTGGGCTGCAGTTTAGTCAAACATGTTTTACCTGGCTGTAGCCCATTGAAGGGCTGGTAAACCACAAAATGACCATTTATGACTCTGTTTCTCCATTCTAAACCAACACATGAAATAAACAGGTGATGTCTTGGCCTGGTCTCTTATCCAGGCTTTTTTTCCAGATCTCACATCAGCCCTGCTCAGGTTCAGTGTTGGGCTTAGAGGATTTCAGTTTACAATTCCAGAGTTTAGGTTACCTTTCCAGTTATCTTCAGGAGAACAGCAGCAGCAAGTTCCCCTGGCTTTCCTCAAGGGAAAAATGTACTTTTTATTGTTTGTTTGGTATCCTTTTATCCAGTCTATCTGCTTTTTGCCAAAACCAGACAAGGGCTCCTATACCTTGTGCTCACAAGGGGTGTGAGCAGCACAAGAGGGGCAGATTTGTACCTCTGCAGGGAGCCCAATTCTGCTACACCAGCATAACCTTTAAAAGTACATGCAGTACATGGCACAGTGAACAGCTAGAATTTGTTGGATCTCAGGTTTTGCTGTAGTTTCTTGGAGTTTGTTTGCTCTAAATCATTACCCACTCAGTTTTGCTGTATGCAGAGGGAAGGAAATGCTCATGTCAGTACCAGGCAGTGTTGGGGGTCTTGAAACATGTACATGGGTGCTTGGTCAGACACTGCACACTGCAGATACTACAAATGGGCATTTGGAAAGTGAGCTGCTTCCTGATCTGCACCTGGAGCACTTCCTTATGGTGTCCCTGGGGCCATGAGTTCCCTGTGTTTCCTTTGATCCCTGTAGGAGTGCTTCAGGTACTGAGAACATGCAGTGGTTGTTGTAAAAGGATGACTGTGAACATCTGAACAGGAGCTGCAGCCCCCGCTCCCCTTTCTGTAACCCTTGCAAATGCACAGGCCTGTCACTGTCATATTTTCTGAAAAATCCCTTTGCCAGGATTTTCTCCTGGGAAGTTGAGAAACCTCAGAGAAAAATGTAAATAATAATTATCTGATTGCTTCTCCTGTGTTTGCTGCTTTGGAATGTGGTTTGGACATTGTTTACCAACAGGTGCATGTTTGATTGGTTTCATGTGAATTGTTTTGACTTAATGACCACTCACCATCAGCTGTGTCAGACTCTGAGGAATCAGTCATGAGTTTTATTATTCATTCTTGTTAAGCCTTCTGTCTGTATCCTTTCTCTTTCTTTAGGATAGTTTAGTATAGCATGAATAGAATAGAATAGAATAGAATAGAATAGAATAGAATAGAATAGAATAGAATAGAATAGAATAGAATAGAATAGAATAGAATATGCCTTCTGAGAGCATGGAATCAGATTCATCTCTTCCCTTGTCCTGGGGACCCTAAAAACTCCACACAGGCAGTCAGTCACATCTCCAAGGGTCACTTACAAAGTGAGAGCAGATAGGATTCAGTTGGAAGCTGGTGTCAAACCTGCCATCATCTGCTTTGCTGGTGCAGCAGTTCTGGGTGCATCAGCAGATTTTGGATGTTCCCTCTTGCTACTTTTCAGCTGCTCAGTTTGGGTAGCATGGGATGCACTGATCCCTGCTGCAAGGATTTACCTGTCAGCAAGGGAAGCTGGAAGTACTTTTGTGGAGTGTTTGTCTTCTGTTCTGGAGGAGCTAGAGAGGTTTTTTATTCTTTGTTTTGTGGGATTTTTTGGCTCAGTTTTTCACAGGGAAAGCTGAAAGAGTTTTCTTGTTAAAACACCTATCCTGAGGTTGCCATCTCCTCTTTGTCCTAGTTTCAGCTAGTATAGAGCTAATTTCTTCTCAGTAGCTGTTACAAGGTGATGTGGTTTGGATTTGGAATGAGAATGGTGTTGATAACACATTGATATTTTGGGGTCTGTGGTTACCCTAAGTCAGGGGCCTTTTTTTTTTTCCCCTTGTTCTTTTTTCTTTCATGCTCTGCCAGGGAGGAGGTGAGCAAAAGAAACTGGGAGGGAGCATAGCCAGGACAGGTGACCCAAAGTGACCAAAGGGATATTCTCCATGACAGATGGTCATGTCTAGGATATAAACTGGGGGAGTTACTTGAGAAGGGAGGCCTTTCAATTTCCAAACAAATCTGAATTATAAAATGCCACAACATAATGGGTCTGTAGCTGTGTGTCATGAATAATTTTCTGATGGATGCTGTTGGAAAAGAGCAAATTTCACATTAGATATTTCATTTAGTTATTGTCCCAGGTTCAATGTTGCATTTATTACAATTTTTCACTTTTTAAAACAAATTAATTTATTGTTGTAGGATCTGATGGAGACCTCATTTGGGATTGCATCCTGTTGGGCTGGAACTTGTGATAAACCAACAACTGTTGTTAGAAATTGCAGATTCCCTCCAAGTATCATGGCAGATTTTGCCATTAATTTTCTCCCCCTGCTCAATCACTTTTGGTTCAAAATACTTCCAAATCTTTCATCAAAGAGTCAACATCTGGGTGGCAAAATTGGAGCAAAAGCCACAGATGGTGCTGTCCCAGAAGGAAAAATAAGAACAAGACCAGGAAGCCAGATTCAGTCTTGCAAAGTTTTTTTTAGAATTTGAAGGGCTTGGGCATCCACTTTTGTTAGTTATGAGACAACTTTGCCATTTTTTTACAGTTTCCCTGGTTTATGCTGAAACTGGCATGGTTATCTAGGAATGGAATGCATCTACATGGAGATTGGCTGTGTCCACTCAGCTGTTCAGAAAGAAGGTGGAGCTGCTCGTGGTGATGTTTTATCGCTCTTTTCTTAAAGTATGTGACCAACTGCTGTTTTTCAGGGATGCTGGAGCTGGATGAGTACACCATGGAAAGGGTGATGGAGGAGTTTGAGCAGCGCTGCTACGATAACATGAGCCACGCCATCGAGACAGAGGAAGGGCTGGGCATCGAATACGACGAGGACGTTGTCTGTGACGTCTGCCAGTCTCCAGATGGAGAGGACGGCAATGAAATGGTGTTCTGTGACAAATGCAATATCTGTGTGCACCAGGTATGGCAGCAGCACGGTGTCAGGTGGTAGCAAACTGTTCCTAAAGGGCAGTCAGTAGGGACACAGGCGGGGTTTATTCCAGAGAGCTGTGCTAAGGTAGCACTGCTGTGTGACACCTTTGTGTGGTAGTTCAGAAGTTTTCTTCACATAAGAGATACAGTTTTAGCCTGTTTCCATGGATACTTCTTACTCTGGCAGGTGCCTTCCCATCAGCCTGTCCTTCCTTTCCAGTTTTAACAAGTTTCTGTTGTCATTCAGTGTTTGGAAACATTGCTGGTTGAGCCAGCAATGTGCCTTGGTGGCCAAGAAGGCCAGTGGCATCCTGGCCTGCATTAGGAATGGTGTGGCCAGCAGGAGCAGGGAGGGCATTCTCCCCCTGTGCTCGGCACTGGCGAGGCTGCACCTTGAGTGCTGTGTCCTGTTCTGGGCCCCTCAGTTTAGGAAGGATGTTGAGATGCTTTAATGCATCCAGAGAAGGGCAACAAGGCTGGTGAGGGGCTTGGAACACAGGCCATATGAGGAACGTTTGAAGGAGCTGGGGTTGTTTAGCCTGGAGAAGAGGAGGCTTAGGGGTGACCTTACTGCTCTCTACAACTTCCTGAAGGGAGGCTGTAGACAGGTGGGGGTCGGTCTCTTCCACCAGGCAGCACTGACAGAACCAGAGGACACAGTCTCAAGCTCCATCAGAGAAGGTACAGGTTGGATATTAGGAAAAAATTTTTCACCAAAAGAATAATAAAGTGCTGGAATGCTCTTCCCATGGTGGTAGAATCACCATCTCTGGGTGTGTTTAAAAAAAGACTGGCCATGGCACTTGGTGCTATAGTATAGTTGAAGTATTAGGGCATAGGTTGGACTTGATGATCTTAGAGGTCTCTTCCCACCTCACCATTCTGTGATTCTGTGATGAAGGACTAGGCCTGTGACAGTTCTAAGTACAGGTGACAGATACACAGATACATCCACAAGATACACTGAGCAAAGTTGTATTTTCAAACCTGTAGGGTTTCTCTGACACATCAAACCTGCAACTTAAGTGCATGAAAGCCAACAGTAATGGGGATAGAGGGCTCCATAAGGACGCGACCTTCTGAAAAACCTGCCCTTAATTATTTGCCATCCTGCACTTTTCCCTCTGAGTAAAAACAACTTGGAGAGAGATGTGTGAGGCTGCTTGTAAAAGAATCACTGAGGTGTTTGCTGTGCTCTCTTTGCCCCGCTGCCCGTGGGGACGCAGGCGTGCTACGGGATCCTGAAGGTGCCCGAGGGCAGCTGGCTGTGCCGGACCTGCGCGCTGGGCGTCCGGCCCAAGTGCCTGCTGTGCCCCAAGAAGGGCGGCGCCATGAAGCCCACCCGCAGTGGCACCAAGTGGGTGCACGTCAGCTGTGCTCTCTGGATCCCAGAGGTGGGTGCTGCTTGCTTCTTGGAACCATGAATGCTGAGAATTGCAGGCTTTCTGTGCTGATTCTCGGCCTGGCTGCTGAGAATTTTTAGACTTTCTGTGCTCACCCCCAAGAGAACGCTGCTTTTGACCTGAGGCCGTGGCAAGGTTTCCAAAATTGAATTGTAAAAATTATAGAACTTGGATTATGGGTGTGTAGTTTGAATAGAAGTGTGGAATGTCACAGGGTGGAAAACTTAAGAGTTTAAGGTTTTAAGAATATAGTATTATATATAAAGCAAGATGGAGGTTTGGACCTTCTTCTTCACCTTCTTCTTCATGGGTTTGGGTGGTTTTGTGTAATTGGACAGAAAAGTCCGCATTGTGGACTTTGAGTGATTAGTTATTGGGTTAAAAGTAAAAATAATGTAGGTGTCATTTCTTAATTGGACAGTTTATCCTTAAAGGCCTTGTAGAGAGAGAGAGATACAGCTCCATTTTTTAAGTTTGTTAGAGTGAAGTACTGTAGAACTCACTGTTTGTGAGACTGTAATATAGATAAATACAAATAAATATCTGAGTCCCAACAAGAAATAGCATCTTGCGCATTTAATCCTGACCCTGGCAAAAAAAGAAGCAAAGACTCCACAGGCGCTGGTCCTGGGATTTTGGGAGAGAAAAAAAAACCTCCTTAAAGCATTATTCAACTTCAAAATGAAGTATAAAAGCTTCTTGGTTAGGTAAAAAGTCTGGCAGGGGATGATGCTTCACCTGTAAAGAACCTAATTAAATCCCCTCTGTCAGTCAGAATTAGGCCTTGGAAAATGAGGCCTTTGCTGCTGGCGAAGCTCATTTAACAAGGACACCAGACATTTCACTTTGTAAACAGAACATTAAAGGTGAATCAGGAAAGTTTGACTATGAGAACCCACAGGAATTCTGTCAGATTCAAAGTGTTCATCCTGTATGATAATCTTAAATTGGTGGGCTTCACCTTGAAACTGGTTGGTTTGTTCACAAAGTGAGAAACTGATTTTTTTTTAAAAAAGAGTTTTAGATCCTGATAAAATGAGGAATTTGGGACACACTAAGTTGTGTATACACACAAGGAATTTGATTTCTGTAATAAATTTGTTTTTCTTTTCAGTTAACGGTGTCATAGTCACTCCAATTTTTTGACCATTTTTCTCTTAGGTGAGCATCGGAAGCCCCGAAAAAATGGAACCCATCACAAAAGTTTCCCACATTCCCAGCAGTAGGTGGGCACTGGTGTGCAGCCTTTGTAATGAAAAAGTTGGAGCTTCTATACAGGTAATGGAACCACATAAATATCCACGTGTGTTTTCTTCTGTCAGTTTTTAGTAGATAGGAAAATGTGTTTGCTCATTGGCACTGTGGACTTAACTGACCTGATCTGCACCAGAGCATTTTACACTGGGCAGTGTTGTTTCATGTGCATATTTATTTAGACCCTTTATGTAGACCCTTTACAGTGGAAAACCACTCAGAAATGTTCAATAATCCTTTTAAGAAAAGTTTTAAAATCTAGAAAGACTGAGAAAACATATTACCAAACCTCAGCTTTTTGAAAGAGGAGACACTGGGACAACAGACAAGATGTTGGTCTCCTTTACTTGAGAATAAATGAGGGAGTGTAAGGACAGGTGACCCATTAGGAACAGTGTTGTGTTTGTGTAGAAAAAGACAGTAAGATGTAATTTAGCATTGTGGTGATGCTCCTCACCCTCAGAGCACTTCCAGCAGCAAAACAATCCTCAGGAAGCTCCCTGAGACAGAGAGGGAGGATACTACAGTCTCATAAGGAGGCTGGAGGAGAGCTTTTTCTTCTGGGGCTAGCCTAGTGGTCAGACCAGCATTAGGACACAAAAATGGCTCAAGTCCTACACTGCTTTGAAATGAGTTTATCCCCATTTCCCTTTTCTCCTCTGCCCCAAGTTACTTGATTGAGGCTGCCAGGAAGAGCTGTAAATCAGCAACACAGCAGTAGTTCCAGTGAAACCTATCACAGGCCACTTCCATGTGAGGAATGTATGAAATAGTAAGTGTTAACTAGAGAAAATAAATCTGTCCACAGCATATAAATTTGCAACCATAATCCCTCCTTGCAGAGCCATCCCCTTCCTCTTGGCTGCTGTTACTTAGCTGAAGCTGTTTTTGTCTGTTCTCCAGGCCACTTTCTGATATGTGCACAACAATTAGGAAAAGTGGCAGCTGGAAGTGTGTGTCAGGCTGGTCAGGGAGCAGCTGCAATAAGCTGGGAAAAGCAAGATTGCTTATTCCCCCAGGTTCAGCAGATTTCCTCCCAGTGAGACAGGCTTTCCTCTCTTCTCCCAACAAAACATGAGCTGCAGTAAGAGCTAATTATGGCTAAAGCACTTCTCTGTACTGCCCAGTGTTCCAGTTGGGATGCTCCTGGCCTGTTTGTTAGTAGGAGAGGAAAGGGCAAAAGATGCTTGGTTTTTTTAAATTCCTTTTATGTGTTGCTTTTATTAAAGACTGCTCATTTGAAACCTGTGCAGTTTAAACCCTGCCATACCTTTATAAGCCATCTGGCTGCTGAGTCAACCTGAGCAGGAAAACCCAGAGGGGAGAGAAATTTGGCTTCTTTACAAGCACTGTATAAACATCCCAGTGCACTGTGTTGCTCTTTCAGGGTTGGTGGCTTGTATTAAACATAGTTTTGTTTCCTAGTTAGGAGCACTAATGCTCATTTCCACTTCAAATCCTGTTCACCAGAGGTGTGAGTAGGTCCAAACACATATGTTTGTGTATATATACATATTTATATGTATTTAAACCTTTCAGCTGGTGGTATGTGTGATAGAATTTTGCAAAAGGAAATTAGATATAATGGAAATGAAGTGCTAAATTAGCTGAACTAGTGCCCATCACTCTATGATGGCCGAGTTCACTGAGTAGGAAGAAAAACGACAACATTTGAATTTCCTGTTCTCCTCCTCTCCAAGGTGAAGGCTGTGAAATGAAGTAATGGTTGACAGTGATTTAATATTTGACATTATAAAATTGGGATAATGGAGGAAAAAATTCCCTTTGGTTGAGGCCTTTTGGATAGCTTGGATCCAGGTGCTGGGAAAGACTTTTAATTAAAAGTCTCAGACTGGCCTGGAGCCACCACAATGTTTTTTCTTCCCTCTGGTGCTGGCACATTCCAAAGGGGAACACTTTACTTTGGTAATGGCGCTGTGCACAAGTGGCTCTGGTGTCACTGGGAATGTTCCTCTTGTGGCTTTTTGTGCATGGAATAGTGTGGTGGGGCTGGAGGGGGGTTAAACACTCCTGTCCCTCTGGGCCACTTGATCCTGAAAGCACTAAGTCATAACCCCAATTAAAGGGAGCAAGGAAGTGCGTGCAGCTTAGAAGCAGAGCGCGGTGACAGGGTTCTTCTTCCAAAGCAGCCCCGACTTCTCCAACAGTTGTAGGCAGTGTGGCTGCTTAACCTCTATGTTTATTTGGTTAATTGTAATTCATGTTCTCTAGTGTTCAGTGAAGAACTGCAGAACAGCCTTTCACGTCACCTGCGCCTTCGACCGCGGCTTGGAGATGAAGACCATCCTGGCAGAGAACGACGAGGTGAAGTTCAAGTCCTACTGTCCCAAGCACAGCTCCACCAAGAAAGCGGACGCTGAGACTTTGAGTGAAAGCCCAGCTCAGGAGAACAGGAATGGGATTCAGGACACCTCCCTTCCTGCCCACATGGACCCTTTCCACAGCATGGATCAAAACCAGGAGGAGGCCCACAGGGTCAGCCTCCGCAAGCAGAAGCTCCAGCAGCTGGAGGACGAGTTCTACACCTTCGTTGAGTCTTTGGAAGTGGCCAGAGTGCTGCGGCTGCCTGAGGAGCCCGTGGAATTCCTTTACCAGTACTGGAAACTGAAGAGGAAATCCAATTTCAATAAGCCTTTGATTACCCCAAAGAAGGATGAGGAGGACAATCTGGCTAAACGGGAGCAGGATGTTCTGTTCAGGAGGCTGCAGCTCTTCACACACCTCCGGCAGGACCTGGAGCGGGTAAGCCCCGGCACTGGCCACAGTTAGCTGAGTTCCCAAACTGTGCTCAGCCTGAGTGCAGCTGGGCTCAGAGCTGTGCTGTCAGGCAAGGCCATTAACACTAAATTTCTCCAGAGCACAGCAATTGCCCTTTGCACACAGAGGTCAGTCACGGGGCCAGCAGGTCTTGGCGTGTAGCATTCAATCACCTGCAACTGCACTGTCGTGTTTTTGCCCGTGCCTTTTTACTGATTAACTCTGACTGTACTGCAGCCCCCAGCTGAAGCCTTTTCAGCCTTTAAGGGCTTTCCATGCTCCTTTCACCCAGTGAAAGGGATGATGAAACTTACCTTGTTTTGCAGCAGATCTGTTTTTCTTTGGCATACCAGAGTAGGATGATCAGTGTAGGTTTGGGAGGTAAAGGATGTTTGATTTATTTAGATTTTGAATGTTTGAACAACAGTTCAATAAGATCAGTTTGGTGTTTCAATAAGTACATCTGATCCTGAGTTCCTTTCTTTTTGGGTTAATTTAGGAGCTCTTAGAGCCAGAAAGAACACTGAAATTAGTTTTTCACGTCCCTGCAGCACGTGGCTCCTGTGGGCCATGGACGAAAGCGGCTCAGGAGGTCCTACCTCAGTAACCTGTAGGTGAACCAGAGCCTCTCTTTCATAATACTGTCTAATCTTTAAATCAGGACAGCAGGTTCTCATGGATGTACTGCATCCTTTGTAAAGGATCCTGATGCCTAATTACTCTTAAAATGAATTGCTGTAGTTTTTGATTTTTCTCCTAGTTTCAACTCAGCCCAAGGATCTTCTGTAGCTGTTCAGATGGCCCAGATCCTAGCTGTTACCTGGGATCTTTTGTTCCTGCTCCATGTGCTCAAGCTTTCTTGTCATCTTCTCTTTGATCAGCTAAATAATTAGTTTGTAACTATGTTCTCTGGATCTTAAATTATTGTGTGTGAATCCTTTCATTTCTAAATGTGATGTCAAACGAGGATACATTATTTTAGTAATATTTTAATGTTTTACTACTCTGTTCCCACTGATTGTACATTCAAGATAATTTGGATTTTAAAAAAGGGACCTTTGCAAGAACAAACACACTTGTTACATTTCTCCAGATCAGGCCACAAGGTTGTAATTCACAGGGCACCACCTTGCACCACTGACAGAGGAGCCTTAGAATCATCCACCTGTGCTTGCTTCTCAGTCATTCCCTCTCCTGGGAAGTATTAAATACTGAGTACATTTCAAGGATTCCCAACATTTCCCTAGATTTCGTGTGTCTGTGACTCAGGTGTTTGTAGGAATTACTTCTGTGCTGTGGTTCTCCAAATCTGGTGGAATAATCTGTCAATTAAATTGTCTGTCAATTCAACAGATAATTTGTCAGTTAAACAGAGTGTTCTCTAAGAATTGTGTTGAAGGCAGTTACATTTAAATTGTTTAAACTGAAATGGTTTACATTCAATTGTACACCATTTGTTTAAATGGTGTATGGTATTCCAGGTGAATTAATTCAAAGCACAGGTAGGGCAGTATCCTGGGAATACAGTTCCTGTAAAACCCACGCCCTTGCTGTCTTCCAGGTGCGTAACCTCACTTACATGGTGACGCGGAGAGAAAAAATCAAGAGATCTGTTTGCAAAGTTCAGGAACAGATATTCAACAGCTACACAAAGCAGTTGGAACAAGAAAGAGTTTCAGGTATGCCTCAGTGTTCCCTTCCTCATGTCAGAGCACAGGGACAAGGTTTGCTTACAGGCTGTGAAGGACAAACAGGGCCTCATTTGTTCTCATTTCATTCCTCAGAAAGATAAATACCTTCAAAATTCCTGCAGTGGCCAGATTATCCTTGAACCGTTGCGTAACTAATAAACCATATTTTAGATAGCACCAGGGAGATCCACTTGCTGGTTGCTTTTTGCCTCTGTCTCTGAGGACAGAGGAGTGTTAGGACTTGTGTTTGCTACAAGTGTAATTAGGTGCAGGTACAGGAAGATGAAACCATGACATAGCCACAGAGTTATCACCTACAAGTGCAGGACAGGCAGCCAAATCCCCATTTCTGATGTGAACACGTCAGGCATGAGGAGCAGAGTTAAAACAGGTACACTGCAAACTGTTGTTTATCCCCACAGCTATGGGATTGCTTGACTTGAACTTAGTTTGCTTCCACGCAGGTGTGCCTTCCTCACTCTCCTCCATGGAAAGCACGGTGCTGTTCAACAGCCCGTCGCTGGGCCCCGACGCCCCCAAGATCGAGGACCTGAAGTGGCATTCTGCGTTCTTCAGGAAGCAGATGGGCACTTCTCTGGCCCACTCCTTGAAGAAACCCCACAAGAGGGACAGGGTAAGAGACAGGTCTGGGAACGACAGCAAATCCCTGCTGGGACAGCCCAGCCCTAGGGAAGGAGGGGCAGCTCCAGGCAGCTTTTTCAGTTTTGACAAGCCCTTGGCCGAGACGCGGATCGCGTCGGCGCAGCAGAAGAACGGCGTCGTTCTAGCAGAGCACAGGAAGAGAAGGGACAATCGCCCACAGTGCGAGGGGACGAAGGCAGAGCTGAAGGAAAAGACTTCTAAACACAACCACAAACCCCTGAGACCCACAGAACTCTCTCAGAGGCAACTGGAAAACAAAAGGGCTGTCAACCACTCCGGTGGGAGGTCAGCAGCGCCTGGCACTCGGAGGGATATAGTGCCTAAATGTAACGGGGGTCTGGTCAAAGTGAACTCTAATCAGACAGTAGTTAAAGTGCCTACCACGCCCACGAGCCCGGGGAAAAACTGGGGCGGATTCCGAATTCCAAAGAAGGGGGAGAGGCAGCAGCAGGGGGAGAGCCTGGAGGAGGCCTGCCGCCAGAACTCGGGCTACCCCTACCTGGGCGTGGGCAGAGTTGCAGCCAAGGAGAGGACAAAGAGCAAGTTAAAGCCTGACAGTGAGAACGATGGCTACGTCCCCGATGCTGAAATGAGCGACTCGGAGCCAGAAGTGGCTGAGAAGAAGTGCAGGCAGCAGAGGCTCAGCCCCAGCAGCAGCATCGGCAGGAGGACGGACATTATCCGGAGGAGCATCCTGGCCACCTGACTGGACGCGGGGATGGGGTCACCAGAGTCACACTGCCTACAAGCCAACTCCACCTTACCCATCCGTGTGAGAGAGGAGCATTCTTAGAGCTACAGACTGACAAAATGAAAGCCCATTTTTCTGAGTTGTATGTTTACATGCACTTAAAGCTGTTTTAAGCTCTTTGATTTTGTTTTGGTTTTTTTTTTTTTTTTCTTTCTGCCCCATCCACACCCCCTCATCCTCCCCATTTCTGTGAGAAGGCTGAATCTCCCTTATGTGCAACTTTCTTGAGTAAGCAGGAGAGCGACATTGCTACTAAAACAGGAGTTGGGATGCACACAACTCAAAAAAAAATGTTTTATAAGGGGCTGGGGGAGGGCAGGAGGAATCAGGCTGCGTTCATCCCTTCTAGCTAAAAGGCACTGAAAATTTTACTCCCTCGCCCTGACTTCTGGAAAAGCACAAGCTCTTAATTTAACTCGTGTGTATTGAATGGAAGATGGTGGTTAGACCATCCTGCACTGCACTGGTAAGTCCCATGACAAATGCTCCCCATCCCTGGGCAGGGGCTGCTCTCTCTCCTCTCTTTGCAGAATGTGTTCTGTTGTGTTCAGTTTGAGCACAGGTGGCAGCTCAAACCCCTCCCTATGCTCCAGAGTTTACATGTCAATGATGACCAGGCACAGCCAGATGTTGCACTGGAGGAGGAGGAGAAAGGGACAGGGCAGGGCTTGAGAGATGGGGACTGACACAAAGGATGTTCCCAAATGGCTCAGTTCTGAGCAAGGGACAGCTTTGGGGGTTCCAGCACTCCGTGGAATAACCTGTCACCCATGGTCAGGCACCTGCCTTCAGGAGTGCGATGACAATTCCAGACAGAAGTTTTCTATGGCACTAGTTAGGAGGATTTCCCAAAGGCCACCACAGATGCACTAATGATATGTACTGGGAGAGTCAGGCTTATGACACTAAAAGGTTGCTTTAAATGGACACAAATATATATTTTTAAATAGGATAAAACAGAAAGGCAATACGTTGTGATTAGCTCTTTACAGTCAAGCAAAGAAAAAACTATTTCGTTCTATGATGGATTAGATTTGATGGAAAAGGGAACTTGTATTCTGACTGTGTACTTTTTTAATAATTGCAAGTGGCAATAATGAGTAAGCTGTGAGCAATAATCTGAACAGGTTGTGAGGATACTGTTTTGTACTGAGTGCACACACTGCAGTGGAGCAGTAAGAGCCTGTCCATTTTGGAATTTTTCATAGATGTAGGAGAGGTACGTACTGGTGAAAAAGTAGCAGCAGCAATGTGTTAAAGACAGGCATAAAGACAGGCATCCTTCTCCTCCCCTTTCCCACTCCCAGCCTGCTGTTATGGCATCCACTCACCTTGGAATGCCTGACCCTTGCCTCCCGAGGAGGGAACACTGACAACACAGAATTCCTCTGCCACAGGACTGAGTAAAAAAGAAAGTAAAAAAGGCTTAACACCCTATCTTGCTATGCAAGTTAATGTTACCAATTAAATATTTCACCAGAATGCATCCCTGTTTTAAAACTCATAAGTCTTAACCTTTTGAGGAAGGGGAATTTAATGTAAGATAATACAGTTTCAAAATCCTGTTGCTGGTCCCAAGTCCCAAGAATAAATACATGATTTACAGAGGTGAAAGTCAGGCAGGGCACTGGTGACTGAGGTTACATAGCCACTCTTGGGATGTCTTCAAAATATAAACAGCAGACAGACAAAAGGTAAAAGCCAGTAAGTTCTACTGAACATCCAGCAACGTTCTCCAGACAGGCACTGGTATTTTCTGTAAGGAAGAAGCTCATGACCACACAGGAATTGTCAAGCCATAGATGGAATACCCTAAATTTGGATTCTGAGCAAACCTTTAACCTCACCCCCCTTGGACAGAGGTACCTTGTTAATTTGCACTATATGATGAACACTTGTGTTGTGCAGAGTGAATGCCTTAGCTGCTTTGTCCCCTGGCACTGAGGGCAGGAAGCTTTGTGAGGTTTCCAGTGGAGCTGACCCCAAACCAAAAAGGCTGTGGTACGACCAGCTCTGTAGGTTCGTTTTGTCCCTGTGCTTAGCCCTCAGCAGGAGGTGCTGCAGGTACTGCAGTGACAAACCCACCCCTGGGATTTACTGGGATTTGCTGGATTTCTGTTTCCAAGTGTGACCTTTCCTTGTGCTGACTGACCAAGAGATCTTTGATATGATCCGTGTGTTCTGTCCAACCGTAGGCTAGTTGAATGTCTGTAGAGTTGCCTGGAATGCCATTTGTTAGGTTATAAACTCACACAGATCTAAAATGAAGGGTTCATGTTGTGTACAGATCTTGATTTCAGAAGTTTGAGACAATTGTGATGACATTTGTAAAACTTGTACAGATTTTTCACTATGTGCCTAGCTTTGGTGTCCATTCAGCTGAAATTAATTAAAAAAAAAAGGTGCATGAAGAGAAACAGAAATAAAAAAGTATATGTAGAGATGACTATTTTATATTACATGGCCCAATCCTGTATTTATTTTCTCCCTTTTTTGAAGTATTTCTAAAGACCTAGTTGAAACAGCTGTATTTTTTGTTAAAATATTCCGTAGAATTGTGCCTTTTGTCTGTATGTGAATAAATGCTGTACATTTTTGCAGTATCCTTGCCAGCAGTGGTGTAGACCTCCCTGTAATTGTATTTGGGTTCTTACAAAACCACTTCACTGCAATGGTCTGAGCAGCTTTCATGGATTAGTACAGGTATCATCATGCACACTACAGCTGCAAGATTTAGTACGTTTTTAAGGTTTTTAAGGTTTTTTTTTGTTACTGACAGTTGTGCCCATCCCATCAGCAGCACACTGAGTGGTTTTCCCCTTGGCATCCTCACAGAGATGTTCCTTACCTCAAAACATTTACATTTGTAGACAGAGGATGTCCTTGCACAGTCCATGATCTCTGTACTTGTTCCACTGGAAAAGGAACCTGAGCTTTGAACCTGTGGATCTTTGGGATAATCAGGCTGAAAGTTCATTCACACTCTGAACTGGCTGGGGTCATGCATTACTGAGGGAACATTTTCTTGTACAGCAGGGTTTCCAGATGAGGATTCCTCTAAACTCCAGATGCAGAAATACAGAATGGATGTGGTGCCGAGCAAGAAAAGGCTGTGAAAGGACACCCTGAGCAATTCATCTTGAAAAAAACAGATCTCCCAATTTGGGAGCAACATGGGAGCAGCCTCCTCTAGCCACCTCAGGGAAATAAAGGAGTTGGTGGGTCTATGATGAGCTTCATGTCACCACATTCCTCTTTGTGACCAGGACAGAAACCTTTTCTTTTCCTTTGTCATCTGCTGGAGTTGCTCTGCTGCCCCTTGCTTTGTGTCATCCCTGCAGTTCCTGTTCTGGCAAACAGCCACCAGGCAGGAGCTGCACCCCAAGGTGAAATGAATATTCCCATAATTAACAGAGAAGCCTGCAGGTGCCCTTCTGGGCCCCCAGGAACAACTACCCAAATCCTGAGAAGTGCCTGCCCCTTCCAGCCAGGTTTCACTTCACAGCCAGAGCCTGCCTTTGTGGAGTGAAGGGGATTAATGGCTCACACAAAATCTTCCAGGTGGCCTGTCATCATCTCAGCTGTGCATTATGCAAATGGAAACAAGGTGCCTGCTACTTGCCTGCCTCTGTATCACTCTGCTGATTGATGAAAACCTCACCCAGACAGACACTTGGAGCTTCTGAAAAATGTATCCGTGTTGTTTTGGAGAATCTTCCACATCTTTTAACCAAAATTGAAATTTAGAGATTGCAGTGGATACAGGCATCTATCAAGAAGAAAAAGCAACCACTCTAGGAACTAGTGGCATTCCCTGCAGCAAGCAGGAATTATTTCTGAGGGCGGATCCATCTTGCAGGCTCTACCTGAACAGCCAGGATTTCAGGAGGCAGCACAGAGTCTTGTTTCTACAGGGGGATCAGCTCAACTCTGTCCTCTGAAATGCAAATATGGTGAAGGTCCACTGCCATGGACACAAATCAGACATGTCCATCAAGTACTACCCAGCAGCTGAATGAGAGGTTAGAAACCACAACTGCACTCTTCACATTTAAGTGGAAGGACGAGCAATTATGTCAGTTAAGGCCAAGATGTGAGCACTTCAAAAATCAGTCAAACACCTATTAAATGTCTGTAATATATGCTAAAAGAGAAAATGGACTTTGGCTGTAATTGTACAATGATAGCTATGACCTGTCTCAACTATCAAAAAACCCCCATATAAAAGAGGATTCCCACATCTTGGCATCTGTGCAACTGAAACCCACTATTTCAAAGGGCAGAAGGGCTGGATGACTTCACCCTGGTGCAAACTGAAGTAAGAGAATGGACTTTCTCAGATATGTCCAAACCAAGGGAGCAGACCAACAGAAAAGCAAGGAATTGTAAAATAATTATGAAATTAATAGTACATTAAGAAGAAAAAGCACAACTGAAGGAAGATGACAGAGCTTAGGAATGAGCTGAGTAGCCACAGCAGCATTTTCATTATCACCTGCACCTTAGGGCCATCAAACCAAACCAAACTGAATTCTTTACACTGGAAGGCAACAGAGGCATTGTGCAGCTCAAACACTGACCAAGAAAAGAGCAACTCTGGCACTCATGCTATAATAAGACTAATTATAATTCACAAAGGATCTTCAAATTGTTCCCAAGTTACCTGCACTATACAGAACAATTAAAAAGATACTGACTGCACATGAGCAAGGCCAAGATGAATTTCAACAGAAGGGTTACCTACTCCCTGTACACAATCTCATCACAGCTGGAGCTACTGGATTTTAGACCAAAAAACCCTCCATGTGCCACATTTTTTCATTTGCTACATTAAAGGACTCGAATGACAACATTTTGCAGGCTTCTTCCAATCTTTATTGTGCATACAGAGACAGGACCTTCATCCACTCCTTTTCTTACCAGAATTTTAAGTTTTAAAAGCCTTGCTGTGCTTTTGACTGTAGTGCTCCAATATGAAGTTTCTCCAGCAACCCTCCTAACTCCCAACATGAGTGGGAGTTGATAAAGGAATGATAAAAACACGTGTTTAAATATTTTCCAGATCCTTCAGGGAAGCAGCTTTTTTATTCTGTGTAGTTAGCAGGCTGAGCTGTAATGAAACAGAAGCAGCTGATAGCTTCATAATAATTCTCTGTAGGATCAAAGTAACAGTAGCACTTCCCTACTCATTGTGTCATGAAGGAGGGGGAACAAGCACAGGCAGTGTGAATTTGGGATGAACAGCAGAATTTACAATGTACTCTGTAGATGACTACTGCTTTTGTCTTATTTCAGATCCCAGAGAATGCAAGATGAGAGGTAGCAGGAATTCACTTTAAGAGACACCGACAGGATAGGTGTTTCAAATTTGTGCAAACATTATCTTGCATGTTTTATGTTTCTTACTGAATCACTATTACTTCAGAATAAGCTAAGATTGACAGTCATTGAACTGACCACCATAAAGGGGTAATCTCTAGGCTCCCTACTAGTCCAGCTCTAGTCTATGTCTGATACAATTTTACAGTGAAGGTGGATAATGTAGTGAGAACACACAATCCACAAAGCAGCCCTCAGCCTACAGGTTGGAACAGAGAGAATCATTACTCTGATGGAATTCACATATGAACATTCAGCTAAATACCCAGCTTCAGAAGAGGGGACATTCTTGCAGCACTACTGGAGACCTGTAGCAGGCACAGTGCCAGTGTGTGTTTTTTTGGGGTGGAGAGAAAAAGGAAGGGGCTTGGCACAGCAGTTCTGAAGTCACTAGAGAGCAGCCAGGCCTCTGCAGTAACCTCTCCCACGAGGACAGGGCAGTTCTGAAACTCTGGCAACAGCATTTGGGCTGCACAACATCAAATCTCTTTGTTATCCTTCAGAGAAAGCCTGGTGAGGAACAGCTAATTACCAGTGTTTCCAGGAACCATAAGACCCCTTCCTCTGTGGGCACCAAGGCCAGGAGATTGTTCCCTTGAAATATGACATAAGGACTTTTGGGGTTTTATGGGAAGACAGCATCTTAGAGGCATTACAGCTAAACAGACCCACAAAACAAACCAGGAGTTAAAAAAAATAAATTCCTCTTTCAGAGCAAATCTTCAGCAGCTGAATAGACCTTGTCATGACAGAGAGCATTTAGAGCCAGGAACCACAGCTTATGTTATGACAGCTTGGCAGCTATGCCCATTTATTCACTGCTGTTGGGAAAAAAAATGCCATTTGTCCTAACTGAGCAATTTAGGTCAGCCAAACATCTCTCCTCTCTGCAGCTCACATGGGGTCACCCACATTAACAAGCTGTAATTTGCAAATGGTTTTCCTAAATCACTGAAAAAAAAAAAAAGGCAGGAGGCAGAAAGACCATCTTTACTTAATAGGAGGCCAACTTGAGTAATGAACTTCCTTGGCAAAAAAATGAACTCCGTGTATAAACCCCCGTGGGACTTGCTTCAAGTTGTACAGCTGAAACACTATGGAAAAACTGAATACCAAGAAGAATACACTCTCTCCTTTACCTCTCCAATGGCCTGGAAAGAAACAAGCATTTCCTACTCTGTCTGCACCATTTTTACCACTGCAGGAGCTGCTGCAGCTGTTGCACACAGCCGAGGGTAACTGCAGTGCACTCCAGCAAACCAGCAAACAGGAGCTACAGTTATTTAAGGGGTTTTTTTTGTCTTTGCTAACTTGCCATGTACACCTTCATTCACACATTTTTAACCTTGCAGGTTTCATTCATATCAAATTCCACAAACAAACCTAAGCTGTCAAATGAAAATCCTGTCAGAAAGTGACATGTCAAAAATCCAAACTCGTTAAAATCATGTTGGTAATAATGCTGATCAGTGATCACCTCTGCCTCAGGAATGATGCACAGAGAGTACTTTTGCACATTCCATGTGCTTGGATGAGACTTTTTGTGAGCTGGGTACCTGCTGGGATGCTGTGGCTGCTCTCTGTTCTGCCTGGCTCAGCCGCCTCTGAAGCCTGTCGATGTATTCCCGATACTCCGTCATCAGCGTCTCATCCTGGGGAAACACAATCTCTCATCACACTGCCACGTTCTTTTTCACTGAACCCACTCATTCAGTGGATAAAGTAGCAAAAAAAAGCTTAGCACAAGAGGAATGCCAGAAGTGGAACTGTTTTCCCCTTACAATAAAAGCCTGAGGACAAACTGCTGACACCTTATAGAGAATTTTCTGCTCACATGTGACATCATCTGACTTTTCCAATCAATCAAACTGCAGGGGAAGTTTTACTCATTTCACCACCTTGAAGCAAGATGGATTAAGGCTAACATTTTAATTCAGGCTATTTAATCCATGCAACCATACAACGTAAATGGTTTAGCTATTTAGCTCAGAAGAAAGAGGAATACAGTAGATAATACAAATGGGATGATAAATCTGCTACAGCTCTCTCTTCCCTTCAAAGGGTCTGTAAAAAGCCTTTTTTAACCAGCCTTTACTCACTTCTCATATCATTTTTGCCCTCTAAATAACACAGCACTACAAAAAAAAAACCAAAACAAGACAGAAGGACTTATCCTTCTGGATAGAAGTAGATGTTATCTCAGATTTATAAGGCTGACAGGAAAGCCCTTTCCTAAAGTGCCCATTAATTATTGAACAATGCACATTCCAAAACAACCCTGCCCTTCATCTTTAATGGATAATGCTTTTAGCTATATTCATATATGGACACAGAATTTAAATTCTGCATACACACAGCATGTGGAGAACTTGGTATCTGAATGTGCCACATTATCCATAATCCCAGTGCGCCTGGGATTCACAGGCAGAACTTCAGTTCAGGAACATTTCCTGAAATTTGTCCAGAATTGCTAGATTAGTCACTTAGAAAGACAGAAAGATGATTTCCCCTTTCACTTCTGTAATTTGAGAGTAAAGTTCATTTGTCTTCCTGCCATTGGAACACGTCAATCAGCAAGAAAACAGTGAGGCTTCCCAACTGTTACTATCCCTGTCAAAAATCCTTAATTTTCTCTAAGCCATCAACATAACTCACCTAAATAGGTTTCTGCTAAGATCTTAAGTGTATGCACACTGAAAGTAGCTGTCACATCAGTCATTATCTTACCTCAGTTACCTTCTCATTTGCTATTTCCAGCTGGGAAATGAGCTCCTGGCTACGGAGTTTTTGTTGACGCAGCTCACTTCTGGGAATCACAAGAAAAGATGCTGATTGGCAAACAGTAGTGCTTCAGTTATTGGAATGTCATTTCATAGATAGTTCCCTGAATTGTGGAGGCTTATGGTGGGTTTTAATTGCAGGGTTACTCTTAAACCACCCATTTCAAAAGCACCACACAGCACTTCTTCATGCTGTGCATTCAGAAGTGTAATGGCAGAGGAACAAGATGTATTTGTTGGAATCAGCAAGACTTTGTCAAGAGCACTTGACATTTTACAGGGTCTTTTTCCCTGTTTATTGAATCTTATTTTAGAGGCATGCTATCTAGTATGTAATAAATATAAGCTGCACTTTGCACAGTAAGTTCAATATTGAGATTAACATTCTAATTAGTGTTCCATAACCAGCCCTCAATGTAGGCATTTTTAAAGGTGCTTTGAAGTGCCTAAAAATAAATCATTCTATACTTGTGAGACAGACAACAATGTGACACTTGGTGAGGAAAAGGAAAATACCACCTACTTCAAAGCAGTCTTTTTACTTTTATACTGAATGAGTTTTAGTGATCTTCAATTTACACAGTATTGAAGACAAAAAACATCTGGGTTATGACAGACAATCTCTGAGCTAGTGCCTAAAGGAAACAGTTATTGCCTTCTATCAGCACAAGAAGAAGGATGACTAAAGACACGACTCCAGTAATTTTGGCCAGAGAAAGATGCAAACCTAAGTGAGCTGCTCTAACCTCTGACCAGTCTCTACCACCTCACCTTGAATGCTCTACCTGTTGCTGAAACTGCATGGGAAGCTAAAGCCTTTATTCTTTTTGAGGGAATGGAGGTAAGGCAGCAGATACTTTAACCTCAGATTTTTACCCTAAGGTCTGCTATTTTAATGATGACACTTAGTTCTCAACAATGATTTGCTTTTATAAACTTTTAAACTTAGTACTTTGTGAAAGTTTGATCTGTGGCACTTGAAATACAAAGTTGTAATACGTGTAACATCAGGTCACCACTACATCTGGTGAAGAGTTTCCACTCACCTGTTCTCAACACACCTTCTCAATCTCTTTCACCAGTCCCAGTAAATATCACAAAAACTTCAACAACTTTGAACTTTCATAGAAATGAAAGTACATAGGCAGATATTTCAAGGTTGTTAAACAGTTAAAACCACATATATATAGGTTATACCTGTTATCACATGTGAACACTTTTATATAAAGAAAGAATTAAGATTGCAGGATCAAGGTAGTATGTTAGTATGTAACACTATTTTTGTAATTTGTCTTCTGTAATTAGTACCAAGCATCAAATGAGGCATTTTCAATAGAGGAGACCAATTTTTAGATGCCCTAAAAATTGTGAGTTACTGAAAGGAGCCCTTCTCCTGTGCTTGTGCTGAGGTGTGGAATTAGCATGCTTAGCAGCACAGACCATAAACAGAGTTTACAGGCTCACACACAGCTGTGATCAAGAAATTATTTTTATAATGAGATCACACTGAACACATATTTAAAAGGAAACAGTTTAACCTTGTAAGCATCGGGAAATGTGATGGCTATTGAGCCAGACAGTTGATTCATTCTGAGTGTTAGCCCTCCCCCAAACACAACTTATGAGACCTCAATATTAGAACTGAGCAATAACCCCAACTGCTGGGTAATTACACCAGCCCCCACTGCACATTGTCTTTGCTAAGTGAGTGGGAAACAAAAGGTGAGCTTCCAGCATTTCAGCAGACGGGTGATAAATCCACCAGCTGCAGCAAGTACTTTCTGCAAAGCTCTCATGACAAATATAGCATGTGCCAGCTGTTTTTTTGGTTGAATTATACTATAATATGCTTCAGTTACTCTTAGTAATTATGAATTTTGTATACTGCCAGTACCTGCAGCTGTCTCTCATCCTGGTAATATTTTTTTTCCTTTAATGAACATCTTAAAATAAGCAGCTATGGCTGCCAAACATTGCACAAGTGCAGCCAAGAATAATGTTTCAGAAAAAGAGGCAACTTCCTCATCTCAAGATGCCATGCAATTACTCCATGTACTAAGGAGAAAGCATTCATGGCCAACACTTCATATATTGCCACCAGTAAAGGTCATTCCTCAGAGGCAGACTATTTTCAATCACAGAAAAGACAAAAACAGAGAACTCCAAACCCCACACATGCCTACTGATGAGTCAGGGACTCCAGCTATGACAAAGAAATGTGTCAGAGGCAAAAACTGGAACAAAGACACCCAAAATAGCTGCAGTCAGATGGCTTAAGCTAAGCAAAGTCTTTAAATATAAAAACAATATGGCAAGGATTCCCTTTTCTTAAGTACTGACAATTATCATGCAAGTGACTATTAAGGAAATTAAGCCATTCTGTATAGTTACTCAAATTAATGGGTTTAATGCTACAACTGTTTTTTATTCCTCCCCCCTCAAAGGTTATATCTTGCTTCTACACAATAATGGCAGATGAACAGGATTATTAATTTGTTTATTCACACTGTATATTGTTACTGCATTTTATTACTTCTGTAATTAGAGTTCAGATTTTAAAGCTCCTCAAACGCAATGTTTCATGGAAGCAAACCTACCCCCTTTATAGTTTAAGCCAATTTTTATAAATTGTTTCATGCACTGTTTTGTAGAAGAACAGACCTGTGTACACCTATTTCTACCCCTATTCAAGCTAAACTGAGCAATCATCCATGTGTCTGACAGGCCAAAGCAATATCCATGGCAAAGTCGAGAGAACTGTCATTTTCCTGTCAGGTTTTCAAGTTAGAGGATTGACCTTTCTCCCTGTCTGCAGTTGTCCAGATCTAGTCCACCTGAAGGGCATTCTGGGGTGATTCAGTCATTTGATTCAATAGAAAACTTTATTTATCCATGTGAATCTTATAATTGCTCCAACCAGAATCATGTTCAACAAAAATAAGCTCTTGGTGTTGGCCACTGGTGCAGAGTCTGGCAAGGGTTTATCTGCTTACCTGCAAAATTCTCTATTTACCCCAACTTTTCATTCTCAGGGGAAGGACATAAAAAGCTACCAAAAATACTGATACTACAAAAAATATATGCCAATGAGATGGCAGATATGATTAACCATCTTTTGTATTTGTGCATTTATCTACAGACCTGTAAAGGTGGGCTTTACAGAACAAATCAATCATCTGCCCTTATTTTTAAAACTTGCATAGTCTGTCACTTCATTTTATTTGAGCAGATGCTGGCAGACTGAATTACCCTGGTTTTGCCTGAATTCTGCTGTCAGAACTGTCTCTTTCAACCCTTCCCACTCTACCCTCTGTTCTGCTGTTACTGAAGTTTATTTCCTTCCAATGTACAAATTTCCTAAACATCCCTTTGGTATTGCTGATTCCACTTCCTATGGGCTGTCATTTATTCTTCTCAGCTGAAGTCTGAAGAGCTACAGAGCTTTACAGGGATGCTGTAGAGTAACAAGAGCAGTCTCATCCAGATGTGGCCAGATGTGGCCAGGGGAACCATTCTTCTGGATTATAGTGCTTCAGTCAAAGCAAGAGCCTTTAAAAACTTGTGTGTGCTTTCATTACTTCTTTCAAAAGTAAATTATTTCAAATGAAGACAAGAAAAGTAAAAAGCGCTTGGTGTTGATTTTTTTTTACCATGGCTGTCAAAGGCAGATCGCCTTAAATTTTTGGGACATTCAAACTGAGAGCCTAAAGCTTTACAATTGGAAGCTCTGTATCCTGTAGATCAGCAACAACAGCAATATGGATTGCTTCTAGTTCTTATCAAATTTTACACCCATTTGTGGAGAAGTGATACTGGAGATCAAAATGGCTTTTTCAACACTAAGTCTGATTTGGTTATTTAGATTACTTGGACAAAATTCCACATATAGAGGAGGAGGGGGAAAGAATAAATTAGTAATTCAAGAATCAGTTAAACTCATGAACATGAAATACTTAAATTATTCACCAAGACTTAAAAGCTCTTTTCGTCTTATGAAAGAAGTTTGACAGCTTTATAAAATTTCTATACTTCTGTTTTCCAATTAAACCCCTATAAAGAATATGAAAGATGACCTTTTTTTTTTTTTACAACTTTTTACAATGATCACTCACTTTATACTCATTTACTACTATTTTATAATTGCAAGCATTTGCTGTCTAAGTTGACTTCAGTACATATCATTAGAACTCAAAGTACATTTACCATGGATGCAATCAGGGGTCAGAGCAGTTTGGTTTCTGACTGTGCCAGAGTAGACACTGTGGGAATAAAGGGAATAAACTTGGCAGTGAGTTGCTGGCCATGCTGCCAAGAGCAATGTTTGTCTCTGGAATAATGACCTGTGGCACAAGGAGCACTGACCTCCTTAGATACCTTCAGGGTTGACTGGGCCAATGAAAGTGAAGCACAAGTGGCTCCTTGCCCTTCTGCAAGGTGAAGATGAGGGCTGTTACCCAGAAATTCTCCTTAAGATGCATGCAGCCTGTTAAGATGCTCAGAGGGAAGAAAGCTTTTCTCATAAATGAAGACTGTAATACATTTGTGAGAAGAAAATGTAAATGTAATTTAGTCTACAAGTATTCAGTGCACTGCCTCCAGTTTCAGCCCTGGTTCTGAATTCCAAGTTCAGTTTTATCAGCACCAGTTACATGTTTAACCTGAATGAGACCCAAAGGTCCAGAAAAGCACAGAATAATTTTCAATGAAGCTTGGAAGTATCAATTTACTTATCAACACTTCTATCTACAGGTTTTTCACTGATCTACTAGATTCTTAGGTTTTTTATATTATATGCTCTACCATTACAGTTTGCAAAATTTACTTCTACTTCTTAATTTTTTTCAGATTCAAACCCCCTTAACATTCACTGGTGCTGCTTCATTCCTTAGAATTATTTAAAATTATTTCATGCTTCCTTTGTGCATATGGATTACACCTCAGCAACAAAACCCTGCAGCCTTAGAACATGACAAATTAGCAGCACAGAATGTGGAAAAGTTAGCAGTTGCTGCTGGTCACTTTAATAAAGAAGCCAAAATGCTTCAGACACCTTCACATGGGAAATGAAAGCAATGAGGAGAGAACTGGAAAAGCACCCTGACTTTCAGGCAAAGGAATAGGAAACACCTACACTAACAAATGGGACACTGAGTCAGTGTTTATGGGAGCTGCACTAACAGCAGCCTCCTGGTGCAATGCAATCCAAAATGCTTCCCCCACACACATGGATAGGACTTGGTTAGGAAGTTTTTAACTTCCCACAAAACCACTCAGCTATAAAACACATTAGCATGCCGCAAGAATAATGATTCTTGGTAAAAACTGTATTTTTGTTAAAAAATTGAATTCTGCTACATGTCACTAACACATCCTCTGCATTTGCTCACGTATTTACATGGATCCTCTGTTCCCTTGGACCCCACCACGAGGCTTGGTGAGAACATTTCCTGCATTAGCCTCCAGAGACCTTTCAAACACAGCATTTAATTAACAATAGATTAATTAATCCATTACCAGTATCAGTCTTATTTTGTGTTCTTAATGAAATTTCCCTGATAAATGCATTTACTGCAAAATTATTCTGCTTTTTAAATAATCAGCATCTTGATTTTAGTTCCTAACACAGTTAGAAGCTACTTGCTGTTCTGTACCTGCAGTCAAAATGTTATTGTGATAGATGAAAAGAAATAGAATTATACATTCATAGTTGAAGCAAGGACTTTTGTGCTGAGTAACTACTACAATGTAAATTCTGGAGTTGATTTTCATACCAACTGCATTCTGCACTACATTGCTGAGTGTCTGGCAGTGCATATAGGGTGAAAAAACAAGCTGGCTTTAAAATTTCCAGGTAATACTGATAAGGGTCAGTCAGACTACTTGTCACCATGATATCAGAGCATCAGTGCACAGATTTAACCCCCAATTCCTGATGTCAGTCTAAATGACAGCCTTCCTGTTTCTGCTGCCAGCTTCCTTGCCAGGTAGAGCAAATGCCTGATAAAGACTTCTATTTCTAGCTTACCCAGTATGAAAAGGCATAACACACAAAACCATATCATAAAGTAACTGACTTAGCTTTTAGACTTGCACCAAAATACCTACTGAAGTCACATAAATAGGGACATTTTCAAGATTTATTACCCACTTTTCATCCAGGTTCACAAAGCAGACTTCCTTGTATTTTCTATGTCAGCATTTTGCTGCAGATAAATAAGGTCTAAATCTTTTGGTCTGCTGTAACAACATTTTAACACTGAACACTAAAGCTTTTAGAGGGAAAACAGCTATATCACAGATAACTTTAATTATTTTGGAAGTCTGCAATTTTCTCCTTTTAAGTGGAACTTGCTGAACCACATCCAGGATCTAGATGCTCAGCTGTGAATTTTTGTATTTTGATTCACAGAAAATAAGCTACAAGTTTAAGAGCTGAAATTTACCTTAGCATGAAAGATTGCAAAATAATTTTCTTCTCCAGTTACTGCATTTACAAAAGAAGCTAAAAAAGTATCAGTAAGAGCCAGCTAATTACATACAGTGAAGTTACACCACTAAAACTGTCAGTGAATCAGCTCCCAGTGTCTCACAAACAGGCTCAATACTCTTGTCTTCTGAAAGAGGCTTTTCCCTTTCCTAAAGAACTGTTTAAGAATAACCTTTGCAAAATGAAGGATGTTTTAGGGGAAAATAAAGCCAGCCTGTACTTGAACAGATAAGGTAAAAAGCCCCCTGTAAATGTTTGCTAAGGGAAGGAAAAGATGAGCATGTATTTCACTGCAAAAGGTGGATATCCAGGTTAAAAGTAGTGGCAAAGTAGATTTTCCTGGCTTGTGTTTAGAGCTGGGTTCTAATTCCACTCACACCACTGGAATTCTGGCAGCCAAGCTATGCTTCAGAAACTGTAACTACAGAAATTGTGTGGGATACTGGAAATATGATTGAAGCTGAGAACATGTAAAGCATTACATTAATAATAAAACATGAAAAAACCCCAAGACTACCCCAAAGGAAGGGAAAGGTAGAATTCACAGGTTCCCAATTTTAATAAGGAAAAGCTTTGCTTCCATGTTAACATGATAGCAAAGCAACTTCTAAAATCACACTCAGCAAAGAACCACAAGTGCATCACTCCAAGTGATTAAAGGGCTGCTTCCAATTTATCAAGTTAACAGAGCTACATAACCTGAATTTTTGTTCTCAAACCCACTGAAAGGTAATACAATGCTATATTCCTTCCTAACCACTTTAATTTTAGAGAAATTAGACTTATGAAATAAGGCTTCCTATTTTAGCAGTTATTGTGGACCAGTGGGTCAACCTCCTCCAATTTTTAACCAGTTTTGAAGAAGAGGAGATCTTGAGGACATAAACTTCTCTGCAGTTCTATAAAAATACCAGGCTAATTAAATCTCTAATTAATAGCCTGCTTGAGCTAACCGACAGCATTTCCTGAGCCCAGAAATGAAATGAAGCATAGGGGACACTTGCAAAACTGAAAATATTCTTGTATTCTACACTGCAAAATACAAGCATCAGCTTAGAAATATGGATGAATTAAGAGAAAAGTTATGCAAATTACATTATGTATAAGTTATACAAATGCACAAAGTTGATACCATATTTTTTTCTTAGGAGAATCACACAACCCATTTTTATCTTCATTTATAACAGCAACTGCTCAGAAGAGCACATTAGATGAACGTTCCAAGAGGTTTTTGTCCAGTTTATTTTAGAAGTCTGGAGATTCACTCCACAACTGATGTTATGGCTTTTCTGAAGAGGTACAGAAGATCTCATAATCCAAAGCTAAAACTGTCTAAATTGAATGTGCTGTATCTTGAAAGAGAAAAATGAAAAGTAATATATTCCATTTGCTTTTTGTCATTAGAAAACCTTACACATTATCAACAAGATAATGAAACAATGGAAGTTTTACTTCAGTGCTAACTTCAGAGAGCATCACAGGTTCTGTTTAGATCCCTCTTTGTTTTGCTGCAAGCACACCTTTGAGTCTGGATCCTTTGCTCTTTATGGTTTTTCACAAGTTTTTCACCTACTGCCATCCCCCAAACAGTATCTGAAGCACACTTTGCAGAAGGAGAACAAAACTGCACTTACTTCAGCTTACTGATCCTGGCTTCTGCAGTTTCAGTGAGGTTTTTTGTTTCTTCTTTCCACCTGTTTGTTGCCTTCTGCTGAGCTACCAAGAGACGTCTGAGCTCAGTGGTGGACTTGTGGCTGGTGTCCTCCATCTCCCTGAGCCGAGCTTCATACCCATGTTCTTTCACTGCATGCTCATGCTCCATTGTGCTTATCTAAACAAAACCCCACAAATCCAGCACTATCAAATCTTTCACTCTTTACCTTTTTTTTTAAATATTTGTTTTACAATGCCTGAGTTAAATTTATAAACATTTGTTGAAAGTGTGTAAGATACAATAATTAAACTTCTAATTATATACTCAGAGATACGTGTTCCCAAAGCCAATTTAAGCAAATAGGACAACTGACAATAAAGGATAATGAGCTGTGTATGCTTATTTTTCTAAGTAATCTTTATTCTTCTCCCTTGTGTTTCCTCCACAGAAACAAGTTGGTTCTTTTTCAAGTTGCTAAATGTGTTAGGAGTTTCATAACTGCATCTGCAACCCTTTGTACATCACAGGGAAATGAAATCAAGCAGTGAATCTTATCTGTGACTGTAATGGAAGCCTGCCTGATTAAAACTGAGACAGACAAAGATTTAGGATATGCTTTCTGTGCTTCATATCCACCACCTCTCTGTCCTTTGTTTAAGCAAAGGGTTCTGGACTTGTACAAGAGTCCCTGTTCAATTTCACAGCTTGCTTTATCTTGCAGTGCAAAGTGGAAGCCAGATTTGAGCTGGTCCCCACTCCCACCTTGCAAAACTGCTTACTGAGGTTGTTTTCATTGCTCCAGATCCTCAGATCCCTTTCTCTGGTATCTTTACACTGCAGAGGGGAAAGGACCAGCTTCCAGAAAGCACATCAAGGATGAAAGCAGTTCCTCCCTCCAGGAGCCACAGGCACCCTGAATCAGTTGAGGTTACTACTGATTCCTTATCCCACCTGCAGCCTGCTCAGCATTTAATGGAGAATATTCAAAAAGAACAAAGCAGCTTGCAGTTAACACTCTTTTTTTTTTGCAGCTAAGCATAGAGAACAATTTCCTCTGCCCAGAAAATAAGAAACAGTGCTTGACAGCCACACTGTTAAATTATTTATTAGTTACACACTGCCCTGTCAACATGGTGGACACACAAGTAGAGGAACACTGTGGGCAAAAAGTCAGACAGACAAAGATTTCTGACACATTAGAGACAATAAATAAACAAAGATTGGGAATGGCATTATTTAATCTATTCATTGCTCATTTAAAGCAAAGAACATTTGGGGTCTTCTGATCAAGGAGAATTTAATACACATTAAAATACAATTTAATTAGCAGAGATTGAGTTCCCCCATGGATTCTGAGGACACATAATGTGACAATAAAACTACTTTTAAGCAGCAACCAGGAAGCATCACTGAAACTCTCGATCTTAGTTTAAACATTTTATGTTTTTTTCTTAGAACTGCTGCCTTACTAAGCAAATATCAGCCTCACATTTCAAAGAAAAAAACAAAAAAACATACCTTTATTTTAGCTTTTTTTTGAGCCTCCATTGCCAGTTTTCTCAAACCCTCCATTTCATTTTGCAATTGTTCATTCTCCTGCTGAAGTTTCAGTCTTTGTTCACTGACAAAGGAACTCTTTTCTCTTTCTGAATCCAGAGTGCTTTGCAATTTACAGATAACTTCCTGGCAACGGGATTTCTCTTCCTCAGAGCTAAAAGAGAAGGAAAGTCTGGCTGCAACTGAAGAACTGAACAACTCCTGAAGCAGAGAATGAAAGAAATAGACTGGGAGCTATCCACAAATCAGCAAAGACCTTTGTCATGATGATGGAATTGATAAAATCAATCTTAGTTTCACAATTATGGTATCTTAATACTAGGTCTGCTACTGAATGAAAAGACAAAGCCCTAACAACACACACTGAAAAGTTTAAACAGTCCAAGTAACTTCCACTGCCTTCTCACATCTGTAAACACCTGTACCATCACTTACTTCATTTCCAGCTGTTTCAGTTTATTTTGTGTCACCTGCAGACTCCGCTGCAGGTCATCCTTGGCAGCTTCTGCAAGTAAATACTTCTGATGCAGCTGCTCCAGCTTCCTGCTGTCAGATTCATGCTCTCTGTGCTCCCTGTAAATCTAAAGAGTCAACTTGCATGTCAGTTTACTCCTCATTGCATCCTATTTTCCCATGATTTAAAATTAAACTGTATTTCTAACATTGTTGCTGCCACTTGAAAAAGAGGAAAGTTTCCAATGATCTGATCAGACATTTATTTTGTTTTCTGTCTATTGATCTTAACTGGAATATGTACCAGCATTCTTTTGGTTATGCTAAATACCTCTCTTTCACTTTTTACACTTTTCAAGGAACTTTTTCTTTCAGTTTGGTGTTGCAGCTTTAAAAGACCCTCTGGATTAAAAAAAAAAAAAAAAGAATGCAAACAACCTTAAAGTAAATATATGAAAATTTACAATTAAGAAAATCTACTCAAAAATAAAATAAGAAATTAAGGGAGAAATACATGAAAAATGGAAAAAAAATCTATGTATTTTTCCTTCTGTAAAGAGATCTTAAAGGTGATGTAAAAATACAACTGCCTTACCTTTTCAAGTTCTTCTTCCACTGCTCTCTTTTCTCTAATGGCTCGTTCAATTTGACTTTGTTTTTCTGCACATTCCTTTTCATAAAAATAATTTTTAAATAAGATTTAATAAATCAAAATAAAAACTCAAGAAGTGCTGAAGCCAAACATCACCCAATGTAAATGCAGTTCTTGCTGCTGCCATGGATGCATTTGATTTTGTTTACCTGCTCATTATTTTCTCTATAGAATCACTCAACACACAGAACAAGACACATCAAATGAGACCTCTAAAAAATAAATTTAATGCATAAATAGGTGCATAAGCACTGAATTCTTCTGGTCAACCTGCATAATTTATTACAAGTTCCTGGTTCATTCAGAAATAGGATGTCTGTGATCCTAGACTCTCTTAGGGTATTTTCTCAGCTTTCATATCAGCTTTCCTTTGTGCACACACAACTACAGACAAGCATGGGGGGCTGAGTTTAGTGTATCTCTGAAAGAAACAGGGATACTTAGGAAGTGCCATCACATGGGAAATATTTTCTAGAGCACAGATCTCAGTGTCAAAATGCCAGTGAATTCATCTCTGGAGACATGCAGGATGTAATGTGCTGTACAGCAACAGAGGACTATCCTACACAATTACTCATTAATCACACACTGATTGACCTAAAATACTAAATTCTAGTGGAAATATTTGATCAGCAAAAGTCTTAGTTAAAGTCTTAGAATGTTTTGCTACTGAAAATATTTTTATCACTCAACTCCATACCATCTGAAGAGCTGAAACTTCTTCTGTCAGCCGAGAAACCTGCATGTTACATTGCTTCTTTGCAGTGTCTACCTGTGATCAAAACAAAACTCCCAAATTAGTCCCATTAACTTCTTTTCCATCTTGCTTTTTGATATGTATATATCAAAAAGCAAGATGGAAATATATATATATATATATTATGTATATATATATTATGTGCATATATGTATATACTACATAATATATATATATGTATATATGTATATATAAATATATATATATATATATACACACACATAATATATATATATTATGTAGTATATAGGTGGTGCATGAATATAAAGCATGGAAATAGCTGGGACTGCATTAACTGACAGCTCTTATGACATAAATGTTAGAAGGATGATTATTATCAATCCACACTACTTGAACTGAGGGTGTTTAGGGGAAAAAAATCACAAATGAAGACACCACAAGTGCCATTCACATCTTCCCAGTGCAGCCTTCTCCATGCCAGTGTCTGCAGAGACACCAACCCTTCTGCTTCTTGTTGAGAACACGTGTCTAGACAATAAATGCTGAAGAGGATGGTGTTATCAGCATGCTGCCTTGCCACTTAGATTATCCAAACTCTTGTGAGAAAACTGCTTGTGATGACCATGCACCAGCAGTTGCTTTTCACTCTGAGGAAAACCAAAAAAATCTTGCCATCTTTCTGAACATCATAACTTACTTCCTTTCTAATTCTTGCAGCAGTATTTTCTGCAAGTTGAGACATTTCATCCTGCAGTTTTTTGATCTCTTCCTCCTTTTGTTTCTCCCCAAAGAGTGCCTAAAAGAAAAATAACAAAATGAAATATCACTGATATTTCAGTGTGATACTAAGAGCACCAAGAGAAAAACACACATTGCTCAAAAACCACCTTCTTTTCCCTTTTACTTTTTACACTGAGACTCAGTAACACTGACAACACGTGGCACTAAATGCATATTCTTGGGAATCAGAACCACACAAAGAGTTAGAGTCAGAAGATGCCTTCTTCTATTGGGACTTGGAGATTTTGGCTGAGCATGGAATTATACAGAAGAAAGCACAGGAACCCAGAGCAAAATTTCCACCTCAGTCTCCTGCAGAGCAAGGAGAAAACAATTTGAAACACAAAGTGTTAACAGATATGTATATTAATGTGCATGTTTTTTATTCTGTTCATTAACTGAACATGATTTTTTTTTCTTATTGAATTTTCTTCCCAGTTTGAAAAATTCAGGATGTTTAAGCCAGAGGAGTAAATGAAGAATTGACTACTTTGTTTTGGCTCCTTGAGCCTTGTTTTCACATCAATATTTTTGGCATAAACGTTTTTCTATGATAGTTTAATCACACATTGTACACAAAAGTTTCTTTTAAGGCCCTCCAATGTCTAGGTTTCTTTGTTGATGACTCTGTACTTTCCTTGCTTCCTATGTCTTGTCTTTAACAGTTGTAAATTCATAACAGAACCTTCCTATTTTTCCTGACACCAATATTTGGTAAGAAACTCTTACCAAAAACTTGGGAAGATTCATGTTTAGGTACAGTGTTATCACTTAGATGACCTTGATCCGGGCACTCAATATATGCTTTGAAGTTTATATTCATATAAAATATAAGTATATATTTATTTATATATAGTTATTATATATATATACTTATATTTATATATATTTATATCTATTTATATATATTTTATATATAAATATATTATATTTATACATATTTATATATAACTCTGAATGATGAGTGGTCACATCCCAGTTTGCTCTCTGTGCATGACTAATTTTAGCATAACAGACACAAAAGAAGCTGGCTTGTGTATCCTAAATATCCTAATTTCTAGGAAACACCTCCATCCAATGACTTACCTGACTCTTTTGCAGGTTAGCTTCTTCCAAGAGCTGTATGCAATCTTGGACTTTGGCAACAGCATCATATGTCTCACTTTCTAGACTGGCAGACTTGGCCTGAAGCTCTCTGATCTGTTCCTCCAGGGCTACTTTTTCTGTTCTCAGCTGCTCAGCATCTTGAACAGCCACACACAATCTACAAGACAGCAGAAATTTGACAATGTGATGGTCAATCAGGACACTGATCCATTTAAACTGAGCTATTAGTAAGTATCTATTCATAAATTGCCCAAAATGCATTGTTTTCTGCTTGTTTTTGGACAGAGTGTTTTGAGTTTGATGATCAATCAAGTCCTAGAAAGAAACAGAATTACAGGAGTTAACTCAGCTATCTAATCTCAGAAGATCCTTTGAAGAATCCCAGTGATATCCTGGGATAGATCACTGAAAATGTTCTATATTAAACCAGAACAGAACAGCCCCAGAAGAAATAAAAGTTTTTCTCTGTGGAGGAAACTGAATAATTGGATGTGGGCAATGAAGTTGCAGCTACAGTTTTAGAGAAAGAAAGTCACTGGTAATTTCACAACAGCTCAGGAATTCTCATTGTTTAATTATGATTGTCAGCATTGGCAGGCATGAGAAAGGACAAGAGAGCCTCAGAGGGATCATCAGAAACATCTTTGTTACTTCCTAACGTGTTTGCCACAAAACATGCAAGGGCAGACAACCCCTCTATTTTTGTAGGGTATAAGTTTTTGCCTGTGTCCTGTTAGCAACACACAGTGAGCTCTCTTTACCTTATTTCCAACTGTTTTATGTTGGACTGCATTTGCTGCAAGCGTTTGTCAGATGCTGTTTCTCTCTCCTGGGCAGACATCCTGTCTTCTTCCTGGAAAGAATGAAAGTATTATCCAGACCTGATCTGAGCTGAACAAAGTAAAGATATAGTCACATAAAACAAGCTAGGTAACAACTTGCAGTTCATTTAATGTCAGCATTCAGAAAATGACTGCCTACTCAGTTGCAACAGAAATGATTCCTTTCTCAGAATACCTTTCTCTCCAACTGGCTCTGAAGCTTCTCTTTCAATGCCACCATTTCTTCAAGCTTAGCATTTGCTGCCTGCCCGTCTATTTTGGCTTGTCTGTATATAAAAAGAAAAACAGTTATAAGAGAGGGTGAAAAAATGGCTCAATTAAAACTTTGTCACAATAGCCGTGAAGAGCAGAAAAATTCCACAATACTGTTCTCACAGGGCAGAAGAGGTTTCCCCCTTCTTTTCCCTGTGTGGCACAGAGAGAGAGGAATACCAAATTCCAAAAGTCCTGCAGAAATTACCACACAGATTATAAGGAAGGTGTATGCATTGATTAAAGGACTAGGAAATCAAAAACTTCAAGTGATTCAGTAACTTAGGGATAATCAGTCACAGATACGTAACAGAGAAGTCTTTTGCAGAATTACATTTCACTTTAAAGCTACAGGATCAGGAATTAAAACAATCATTGTACACTTTTGAAGAATTCAGCTGATGTGCTCTGTAATCTGAAGGAGAAGAGGGGAAAAAATCCCCAGGAATAGTTAGTGAATCATGTTAATGACTAGTGGCTTTTCATCCTCAGTAGAAAAGTCTGTTGAAAAAAGCAACCCTCCCATTCCTCTGACTTGGGAACAGAAAGACACAGAGAGCCTTCACCTGGGCTGTAACCCAATTATTCAGGCTGCATATCAGGCTAAATTTAAAAACCAATGACTGACTCTATCATAAAAGTGAGCAAACATGTATTAGATTAGCTCATGCAAACTGCAGCACCTGTAGTCACAAACAAGCTGGAAAATATTTCATACTTTTAACAAAATATTTCTTGTAGAAATACTGATTTTGAATTAAGGGCATACAAGTCAAGAGTACTGTACCTACATGAAAATCTTAAGCAAAATATACAATCCGAGCAATTCATTTCAGCCCAATTAATTGGATTAGTTAATTTAATGTTACAGTTTTTTTAAGATGCAAAAACTACAATAAAAACATTATTCCTAAACACATGGTCTTCAGTGTGGGCCCAAAACTTTGACCTTAGTCCATCTGAAACAATGCATCTTTCTCCTACACAAGTACTGGACATTCAGGAGGACATTAAATTGCCTCCTGCAAAATATTTTACAAGTGTTGTAAAATAAAATAAAAAAAGGCAGCACAGGAAGGGAAAAATAAGAAAAATGGTCATAAAAATCAGAGCACCTTAAGTATTAACAATGCATTTTAACAGCCAGGTTCAGATTCTGATCAAATTCAGAGGTCTGCATTTTACAGGCAACAATTTGATTCTAAAGATACAGCTTTTATTCTTTATTGTACAATATATCTTTGACCTAATTTTGGCAAGTTATCTCTCTGTAAGAGCTTTAAGATTCTGAAATGCAGATCCATGCCATAGCTATGCCAAGTTTCATAATTTGTGTGTTTTATCCAGGCTGTACAAAGCTAATTTAAACCTCAATTCTCTAACACACAAGTTGTTTTTTTTTTTTAATCTACTTTTGCATTCCTGACTTAGTAGTCTATTTCCATAAATCATGTAAAACTATGGAAAACATCCCAAAGGATTAGAATTGTCTGCACCATATGCTATATAATCCATGCAGACTACATCTTCATGTTATAGAAGCAAGTGGTGAAAATATTCCAGACTTCCTGGAGAAACACTGCACCACTTTCTAGGGTCAGACAGAGCTCCTGCCATTAACTTTGGGAATAAAAAACTGTTTTTAGGGGGGCAAGGACTTCAGGCTGATCTGAGAGGAAGGTGAGCATACATCAGTGTCTGTAACCAGAGATGGAATGAGATGGAATGACTGAATTGCTTATTTTACTCTTAGTTCATAAATCCACTCTTGAATGAAATAAAATTTTAATTTGGCATCAACCATCACCAGCTAAAAGAGAGAAGAGACACAGTAAACTGGCATTGAATAGCTGTAAACACAAATAATTATGAAATTTTGTCACAGATATTATTTCTCCTTTCTCTTGACGTACTTCAGGAATGTAATTAACATTTCTTTTACCTTTAACTTCCACAGAACCTACAGTTTAGAGCTCTTTATTGATAAGAAATGAAAGCAAATTTTATTAAAAAAAATTAAAACTTGGACGCTTGTTTGAACATTCAAATTTCAGAACTGTAATGAGCAACCACATAACTGGCTTTTGAGCAAACTGTATTCTAATGACAGCCTAACTTCAGAATTAGTTGTGATGTGATACTGCCAATTTTTCTTTTAAATCAAAGGTCAAATGTTGACTGTTTCAGGGAAAAGCTGGACCTTTTGGAACACTAACTGGAAATATGTTACCATATGTAACACTAATGATGTCTAGCAAACTTCAGAAACAGCTACTGAAACCATTTTAACTGTGAGGATGAAATTAGCTTGTAGTACAAACAAGGCCCATGACACAGCAGCAGGTCAGAAAACCTACAGAAAAGATGGTAATTCTTTTTTTCATCTGCCTGCTTTATACCTCAGTTGTTTTCGTAGCTGCTCTAGTTCCACATCTTGTTCTGTCACAGTTTTCAGAAACTGCTGATTGGTCTGTGAAATAAAGAGAGATTTGTAATAAGTTCACTATGGTTCTGAAAATGTTACACATGCCTTCCACTGAGATAGTAGAGATGACCACAATGGCAGGCAGCATTCAAAATGCACAATATTCTTCTTTTCTCCCCTCTCTCCTATTAATTGCTAATGCTCTTCTTGCTTTTTTGACTGTTGCTAAGAATTGTTTTCAGGCACTTCCTACTTCTAAAATATCTATTCTGAGTGCTAACAGTTCATTTCAAGACCACCACAGCATACTTAAAGTAAAAACCCCATCTTGCCCAGATCTATTATTTTGGTCTCATTAATAACAACATGATATCAGATGAAATGAATTCAGATAATCAATGAGATCTTTCTGCAAATTTCTGCAGTTTACTTCAGTTCTTACTACCCTAAGTATTTTAGCATCAGCAGTGAACACTCTTGCCTCAATACTGAATCTCATTTCCAGAGCATAAATAAATATGCTGAGCAATTCCAACCTGAGCACAACCAGGAAACACAGCTGTTTTACCACAATAAAAAGTGTGACTAATTAACATGTCTCCTCACTTCCTATTTTTCAGTTTGTTAGTTCAAAAAAAGGGCTTCATGCTTTATCCCATGACATCTTTATGCCTTTGGTAACAGATGGTGCCAAATGTTTTTTTGGATAATGCAAACAAATGGATTACCTTTATCTTAAATATTGTCTTAACTCTTTTCTCTGATGTGAGGAAAAAATATTTCACTGATAAAAACAAGAGTAGACTAGGAGTCTTTTTGCCAGTATTCAAAACAAACACTCAAAAAAAACTCATAGAGGAATCAAAAAGAAGCTGCCCAGTCAAAAACCTCACCCCCTCTTTCACCTCAATTTTTCAACAAAAAGCTACTTGAGGGATTCTATGAAAACTGCTTGTCAATTTTGCAAGGCCTAGGCTAAAGCTTATTAACTAAGCAGTCTCACAGTCTAAGGATGTGGATAAAGCACTGGAAGGTTATTAGAGCTCAGCAAAATGTGCATAAAGGTGACAAAGACACTGAAGACAGCAGCACCAAAACAGGAATGGATAAAAATGTGCCAGAGCTAGCATATCCAAGAGGGCATAATTGAAAGAAAAGTTTCCTTGGTGAAGACGTGTGAAGTACACTAGCCACATACTGTAATTCTGAGTGAAGTCTGCAAATTTGAGTGGCATCAGGTATGTGTGAAGGCCTTTTTGCTTTGGTTTTGCACTTTGAGGGTCTATTAGGAAAATAAAGAAATTACTAATTCACTATTCAGAAGGTTTTACTCACCACGTGCAGTTGGCGAGTCAGCTGCTGAATGCTACTCAGCTGATCCTAAAAAGAGAATTCAGAGTTTCTTATAATTATTACAGTCAGAAAGAGTGAATAATTAGAAAGCTTCATTGTCAACTGAAAACATTTAAAAAAACCTTATACATGTAGCAGTGTGTCTTCACAGATTTCAGCTGGATTGTTTTTAGCTGTTGACTTCGTACCCCATAAATCAGATTTACTACTGAACAATTTATCTAATTTTTCCTGGGTCACAAACTGCCTCTTTCCAAACCTCACATGCACTTACTATGAAAACATGAAAGGACACATGAACAGTGTTTTTAAAGAGTCACACAGACTGTGGTGCTACTACAAGCATTTTTGCTAAGCAAAGTAACAGACATGCATCCACTGATTAAAAAATGCCTGTTTATGGACATTTTAATTTGTTCTTTGCCATACAGGATGTCTTGTCTCTCTAAAAAAACACAACTCAGTTCAGTTTTTGAGTCTCTGAATGTGAACTCCATCATTCTAGGAGAACTGGCCTAACTCAGAAAAACCATCTGCAGCATGCCAGGTGCCTTCAGAGCAGAGGGAGGACTGAAGTGTTTTCTGAATGTCCTATCTAACAGTCTCAAGGCCAAGGCTATGCTAGGAACCTGTTCCTTGCCTTCTGTCAACTCCAATTCTACTTGATCTTAGCTATTTCTATTTAACTCTGACAGCTGTTTGCTGCTCCTTCATTGAAAGCTAAACCTAAAATAAAATTTTATTTAACTGGAGAGCTGTTTTCTCTGGGAGACATTTAAGAATAAAAGGCTGTTTAGCCTCATTCTTGTCAAGGTGGAATTACAATGCTCCAAAAATTTAGTTACTAATAAGAAATGGAATCTGGAAGCCCTACAACAGCTACTAATGGCTCTCTATACTCTACTGTGTGAGTATGTTACTAGTAACTGACAATGCAACACAAAAAGTAATCTAACAGAAGAAACAGGAGCAGAAAGTTGGAACTACACAAAGATCAGAGTCCTCTTAACTATTCCTTGAAATAATTATGAAATTTGACAGAGTACAACAGCTGCACAGACTGTTTCTCAGAAAAGATCACATCGCCAAGGTGAACTTAATACTACAAAAACCTGAAAATCAGTAAAAAAATATTTCTGAGGTGAGCTGTAGCTGTGACCAAAAGTCAAGTGTGTTTGAAAATAGAGAGGAAATATTAAAAGAATTTGTCGGTTCTCTCCTAGAATACATGTAGCAAAGTACATAAATGCATCAAGTTTCTATTAGCTCTTCACACACTGAGCATCTTTACACAGCTCATCAGAGCAGAACAGCTTCTCTAAGAATTTCCTGAAAGGCCTTCCCCAGACTCAGCAGAAGAGCAACAGGCTGCTAAACACAAGCTAGCATTAGACAAAGGCTAGTGACCTTGATTTTTCACTGTTTACTTCCTTACTGAATAACAGCAGGAAATAGTGACTTCTTTTCCAGCTATCCAAAGGAGAACAGATACAGAAAGACTTTCGCCTCAGAATTCAGAAATCTTCAGCAACTTTTTCAGATGTTTTACCTTCCCGAAGATTTCCGACCGTGCAATTCAAACCTAGGATTATTTATATGCACGTGCCCATTTTGTGTACATATATATGTATATGAAAAAGAAAAGAAGAACAAAAATAAATGCGAATTACACTCTGCTTTTTCCTCTCAGCTATGAGAACGTGTGTTCTGGTGAGGCGCTCCTGGTACTGCTGCTGAAGGCGGTCATGCTCCTGGGACAGCGTCTGCCAGCGCTCAACTGCCCGGTCCTTCTCCTGAGTTACAGAACAATATTCTATCACAGCACGTTTGTCCTCAGCTGGCACTGGCTAAAAGGACAGGTCTTCCCTTCTGTTTTGAAGAAATGCCATTAGCTCTACTGTTCTCTGCACATATTTTAAAATTTAAATTCAAGTGCAGAAAAATACTTGACGCTTGGAAGTTCAATTTCCACTTCCAGTTGCCTTTTTGTTTAAAGAGTTAAAACTTTCACAGGTCTTTAAGGTAGGCCTGCAGTATAGACACTATTCAAATACCAAAATTCAATTGATATATTGCAATAAACTGAACAAAATTCACTTGTATTTTTACACTTAGATACTATTTTCTACATCCCACACTTCCCTCCTCATATCACATTACAATAGTTTTGATTAAAATGACAAGTTGCTACAAAAAGCTTGAATTGAACAAAATATTTAATGGAGTTGCTGATCATGAATTTGACATACAGATGAAGTCAACTAGGTAAAATTACTGACACAAATTGATATTAAAAATTATTTTATGAATCCAGGAAAGAAGTTTCTTCAGTCTTTGAGTTCAAGAGGGGCTCAAAACAGCCTCAAGGAACTCTGATCAAATGATTTCTGAATCAAAAAATAAAACAGCCTCCCCTAATCTGCCAAGGCACAACAAGAGAAATAAAACAATATAAATGTTTCATCTCACACACTTGCTTTGCCACACGTAGTTCCTCTTGAAGGGTTCTCACTGTGCCTTCATCTGCAGGAATATCAGTTTCCAGATGCACATAAGGAAGAGCCTCCAGTTGCTTCTCAAGAGGCTCTTTCAACTCTGCATGCAGCCTGAAATTCAAAGAACTAAGTTCAGCAAGGTATTTCTTTAAAAGGGATGTTTTTAACAACTGAAATATACTGTGCCTTCCACCTGTACATACTACTTCCTTCCAAGTCAAATTTAAATATATTCAATTATGTTCTATAAACAAAATGGACAGTTTGAGATAGTGTCACAACTAGTGCTTTTAGTGACATGGTAAAATCTCCTCTACCTGGTGCTGTAATCTATATTAAGCACTTCAAGATTCTAATATTAGGATCCTGAGTTTACTAAGTAGATTTCAAAGATTTCAAGGTCCTAGGAAAAAAAAGCTTTTTAATGTTTAGAAATCATGAGAAAGAGTAGCAGCAACATAGCAGTGCAATTATTTACCTTTCATTTTCCTTGGTGACTTCTTCCAGTTTTTTCTTCATCCCACCCATTTGTGCCTGACACAAAGACACTCAAGAGTTAGCACTCATTTAAGTAACACCAACTCTGGTAACACTGTCAATTCTGTATTTCTGACTGACACTGTAAAAGATGGACACTTTAATCCAGCACAATACAGTAAATGAAAGTCAATTGCTTTTTTAAGGCAAGTCACAGGATGCCACTTGAATTTCATGGCTGCCAAGTCCTGTTACACCTCAGCATTTGGAAGTTATTACAGACATTAAACTTAACCTTTTGAAATTCTTACGGCTCTTACAGATTGATTTTTAATTAACTCAAGTTTTTAGGGATAGAGTGGATAACTCATCTTTTATGCTGCAAGTATAAAAAGTTTAGCAATTCAGAGTGGATAACTCATCTTTTATGCTGCAAGCAGAAACAGTTTAGCAATCCACTGAGGAGAAACTCCAGTTATATGGACCAAACTGGCTGTTTTGTTTACTAGTGCAAGGAAGCCATAGTGCTTCTGTTGCCTCCTGAAACTGATCGAGCTGCAAGATTATTTGCAAAATCATTACGATGGACAGATCAAACCAATTAAGTGAATTTAAACCAAAAGCGGTGTGTAACTTCTGCATGAAGATCACAAGCAAAAATTGCTTTCTGTGTACCATAAATTTTAACATCACTTATATTTTCAGTCATGTGAAAGGAAGATGGATGCCTCCCACCTCAACTCCCAGGATTACACTGATACAATTTGGACAATCTCCCAACCTTTTCACAGAAGCTCTCCATTCATCCCCTTGAGGCAGCCTGCAGTCCAGCAGTTTTGTGAAGCATGACGAAAACCAGTGCCCACATATCCACCCCACTAAAAGGAGAAATTTCCAGTCTGAAATGCAGGGAATGCTCATACCTGATAAAGCTGCAGCTGCTCTCTCATTTCCTCCACCTGTTTTCCATACTCTGTGATTAGAGCTGACAAGCTAAGAAGTTGAAAAATATGATCAGAATAAGTTTTGGAAATGCTGAACTGCTCTGATAATTAACTAGTTTGAAAGAATTTTGAATCTAGAGGCCAGAACAGAGCAGTCACTCTTCTTGAGTTCCAAGCTCGACATTGCTCAGAATCAAATGAACAAATCTAATCACTACTTTTAAATAATGATTATTAACAGCAAGGGTTCTAGATAGCAGAAATAGAACATATAATGGGACATAATACATTACCATTAATACAATATTAATATTTCATTGAGTCACACAGAATCCCACATATTAAAAGACTAGACTACAATGCAGAACACTGTAGTTCTACTTCTATAACATTCTCCCTCCTAATATTTTCATAACTGCTAGGAATTCTCTGAAAAGTCCACATTAAAAGCAACAAGAAAAGCTAGATTATTGTTGTAAGAGGAAATTACAATGGTCATGAAGCCATTTACTGATAGACAACTGTTAGTTGAAGAGTGCCAAAAAAACATTTTAAAAACATCCCCCAATCTCAACAGACAGCAGTTACCTGTTGCAGATCAGTGCAGTCTTACCAGAACTTTTGTTTATTCTCTCAAAACTTGGACTAGAAATTCCTTCATTCATCTCTCATCCTTGATTTTACAGCTTGTGGCAGCAAAGTCAGTCATTTAATTTACTGAATAAACACAATACCACCTAAAACCAACTTTTACAATGACACCTCTACAGACACATGTATACAAGACCTAGTTCATCTGGATATTTACACTCCTGTGAGCACATGACAATTTCCTTCAAACACACTGCAGTATTCCCATGTATCACTTGGAATCAGTTACCTTTGGTCCATCATCCTGGATCCTGATGTGCCGTCACCACCAAGGGCACACTCCTGTAAAGGAGTAATAATTTAATCATTCATAATTGCACATAAATGTATGTGGTTTTAAACTTTTATATGAAACCCAAAACTGCCTGTACTGTAATCTGTACACAACATGCCACAGAATCACTTTCAGATTTATGTTCAAAAACCCTCGAGTGCTGGCCCCATATGAAAAAATAATGATTTTTTTTTTCCTGAACATGTTCTGATCTAAAGCATAATTATATCTGAGAGAAAATCAACTCAATCTTAAAAGAACCATCATGAGTTTGTGTAAGTGCTTGGTTCATTTCCATGCATCTCAGCATCAGGAAAGCACTGAGGCCCGAGCTTCTGCACAAGCTTTCAGACAGGCTTATGGTACCCAGCACCAAAAGCTACCTCAACATGAGGCCAATCTCTTAGAAAAGTGAAATTTGTACTGAATTACAAATCAAGTGCTCTTTCAGGGATAAAACTTCCAGAAATGAACCAAAAATACCACAATCCACTGTTAGGGCAGTTTTTTCTGCTGTTGCTCTGTTGTATGAAGGACCCAAAACAGGGCCAGACAACACTGAAGTGAGCTGTGCTCCATGTTTGGAAAGCTGTTTATCACAAAACATAATCAAAACAATTCTTACTATTTCCATGCCTGAGTTCACATACCTGCTCAGCAGTAATTCTTAGAACCTCATTGGTTTCAGAGTGTCCAAGTGCCATTTTTAGCCTCTGATCTGAAAAACACCACATCTGAGAATCATGGCTATAACACAGGCCACAATCTCAATAAATGGGACTGGCAGTCAGAAATATGTTTAACAATGTAATGCTTCAAGGGCAAAAAAAAGTTTCTAAAATTCTTCTATTTAGCACAACTGTTTAAAAGAAAAAGTACTTGAAAAAAACCTACAGGAACTGTAATAATAATAATAATGAATTCCATTCCTGTTATATTCAGTTTTCTTTAAGAATTAGTTTTCCTCTGTTCTGTAAGAATCTGAGTAATACTTTTGTAACTGGAATGGGTAACCAAGAAGAAAAAAGAAGTTGGGAATGCAATGGCTGTATTTTGACTTAAACAACTACTTACCTATTTTTCTTGATACACATCCCATGGTTCTTTTACTAGTTCTAAACTTCTAAAGGAGGATATAGGAAAAAGACAGGGGGGACACAAAGGAAGTAACAGCAAAGGAATGCCAGGAAATAAGAAGGGGAAAGTTGCTGCCCTTACTAGCCAAAGGATGTAAACTTCGAGATGCCACAGGTGCAAAAAGGGACAGATTTGAAACATCACTTATAGAAGCTCACTTCCAACAGTAAAGCATTAAATACATTCCAAAAAAAGTTCAGCATGTACCACAAAAGTATGGAATGGAGGATTATTATTTGTAGGTCTGGCTATTAATATTTCAAAAAGAATTCAGGTAAAACTCAGCCTTCTTTACAGCTATATATTTAACACAACAAACACTCTGCAACATTAAGTATAATACTGCTTAGAGAATCTCATTTCAGATGCATTACACACATCCAGTGTTCTACAACTTTGATTTTACATTTGTGAAGCAAGAGAAACGTTAATCCATGCATCAGGCTCAGAGTAGGCCTAAAACAACTTGGGGCTCAGCTGGCATTGAAGCCAACTTCATATCTTGTCCTATGAAAATGTATAAATATTTCTTAAAAAAAAAAAAAAAAAGATTAAATTCTTTGCTAGGAAAGGGAAAAAAATTCTCACTGAAAGAAGACTCAAGTGCTGGAATGCTCTTCCCAGGGAGGTGGTAGAATCACCATCTCTGGGTGTGTTTAAAAATAGCCTGGGCATGGCACTGGGTGCTATAGTCTGGTTGAGATGTAAGGGTATAGATTGGACTCTATGATCTTAGAGATCTCTTCCAACCTCACCATTCTGTGATTTCACAGTGAATTTAGTCCAAGTTCTACTTAGATTCTAAACACTTACAAAATAAGCTACAGCCAAAAGAAATATATATGAAAAGGCAACATGTAGGGGGACAGAATATAAGTAAATAAAGGAAGTATAGAATGTAATCTTACCCCCTAAAGAGTTGCCAATTATTAAGCATTAGGAGCAGGCCTGATGTTAACAGGCCACAGCTGTAGCCAATAAGAAGAAGAGTGTAATAAAAGAGTGAGGTGGTGGGAACTGGAGTTAGTTGGCTGTTGTGAGGACAAAGAAGATTCAGTGCTGGAGGAGCTGCCTACAAGAAACATCAAGGAGGTATGAAACTCTAGCAATGTAGAACTTTTGCGATATAATAATAACAACAACTTTCTAATATTTGAAAAAATATAATTTTTTCATGTCACAGGATAATGAATACCCTTATAAAGCCCAAGAAAGATACAGATTTTTGAACCAGAATGGCTGTGTTATCTCAGACAGAAGCTTTTCTGCTATCCTTGGAATCAAAAGTTGTTTTTTTTGCCTTTGCCAGCACATGGAACTTGGTACCCGGTGAAATTCTGAGGTCTCAGTGATGGAGCTGCCAAGTTTTCCTGCAGCACTAATTGGGGACAGGGACATTCCTTGGGACAAAGCACCTACCCCATCTCCAACTGCCAGGAATATAAACTCAGCAAAAGCAAATCTGTTTGGCCAGTTATTTTGTGGGTAACTCAGATGTGCTCTCGTTAGGTCATATTAAGTCCATCAAGGAACACATAATTAAAAATACCGATTTTAGTCTGTAAAGCAAATTTCATGAACTGGCAAGAGAGCTTTCTAAAGTGTAGGAAACGCCAATCATTTGTATTTAAAGTTTTTAATTTTTAAAATTTTTAAATTAAAATTTTAAGAGCTTAATAGTAATAAAGCGGTTATAAAAATAGTATATAGATAAAACATGCATTTTTCAGACTGTGGTTTCATTACTGGGAAAAATCTGTATTTTATGATTGGCTTTTCGCAAATATTAAAATGAATGTTATATGTGTTGTGTTAGAAAGTTATGCTGTATTAATTCTCTTAAGTAGTGTGTTAAATATAGTTTTAGGTTATAAAAATGGTTAAAATAGAAACTATGCTATGTAGGATACTTTTTTTAAAGAAAGGACTCGCAGCGAGATTGCAGCCACAGGACACCTAAATCTTTCAGAGAAAAAAAATTTATTGCTCTCTTATCAGAAGAAACGAACTTCTTCCTGCCTCAAAGGCGCTGTTAGGATTTGGAGGAAGAAGTTGACGATGATCAGACAGAGTCCATCATGTATGAAGTGTATGAATATGCAACAGGCTACTGTTTTTAAGGGTTAATCCTTTGTTAACGTGTGCCCTTTTTTGGCTTATTTTGCCCAGAAATATGTACCTGGACGCCCGTAACTCTCTGGTTCTATTGTGGCATGTTGTTCTAAGTCAAATTGTCCAAGTTATTATTACTATTTTTATAACCATTTTATTACTCTTAAACTTTTAATTTTTTTAAAAAACTAAGTGATTGGCGTTTTTCACAATTACCAAAGAGCCGTTCATAGAAAACCGCACGTGCTTTGGCCATCACCCTCATTAGCAGCTTTTCATTGCTGCTGTTTAGCTAACTAAAAGCCCTTCCTTCACTGGGAAACCTACGGAACACAAACCTTCAGACTCGTAGCGAATTTCAACCCTCATTGCCCACACTCACCCGGCCGTGCCTCGCTCCCGGCTTTCCCCAGGCAAACTCCACGAAGCCCCGGCGGGAAAAGCCGCTTGTCCGGCTGGAGGGGAGGGAAGGCGGCAGGAGCTGTACCGGAGGAGGGGAAGAAAACCCAGAGCAGTACCGGAGGAGGGAAGGCGGCAGGAGCTGTACCGGAGGAGGGGAAGAAAACCCAGAGCAGTACCGGAGGAGGGAAGGCGGCAGGAGCTGTACCGGAGGAGGGGAAGAAAACCCAGAGCAGTACCGGAGGAACGAAGGCGGCAGGAGCTGTACTGGAGGAGAGAAGGCGGCTGGAGCTCGCCGGGGCGGGACGCGCTCCCCTCAGCCGCCGGTACCCCAGGGCGGGACGCGCTCCCCTCAGCCGCCGGTGCCCCGGCGTGGGGGCAGCGGGGAGAGCCGCTCCTCCGCTCCTCCCAGAGCCCGCTCGGTAAGGAGGCAGCCCCGGTAGCAGCGGAGCCACAGCCGCTCCAGGGCCCGGCGGAGCAGCCTCACAACCGCTGAAGGCTGGGACGGGCCCGGCCTCTCTCTCCGGCCCGGCCCGGCCGGCAGCGCCGCCCCCGTCACGTGGGGAGCGGCCATGGCGAGGCCCTGGGGCCGGGTGGGAGGAACGCCTCGTTAAGCTCTGCTTGGTGGGGGGTTCTCTGCTTGCTGTGGGTTAAAGATGGGTTTTTAAATTCCCTTCGGCGGGTCAAGTTCCCTTCGGTGCCTAATTTCCCTTCGGGAAAACAATCGGGCTGTGGCCGGAGCAGCAGAGCTCTGCCTGCAGCTCTGCCCGTCCGAGGCTGTGGGCAGGCGGGACCGGCCGCTTCTCCCGGGGAACCGGCGGCAGGAGGAGAGGACACAGCCCGAGGGTGCATCTGGGGAGGGACAGGTTGGGTTTTAGGAGTCAATTCTTTATAAAAACGGTGATTCGACTTTGGAACGAGCTGCACGCCGTCCCTGGAGGTGTTTAAGGAAGGCTGGTTGGCAGTGACTGCAAATGAAAGCTCTAGCTAGTTGCTTCAGTTCCTGGTGTCTCAAGCATTAAAAGTTTTCCTTTCAGTCTGTTTTTCTGATGTTACCAAATCCTCTAAATTCATGTAGTGGACACCGTTTTGTTTATCTGTCCTCTTGATAAATATTTCTGGTGGTTTTGGAAGGTATTTACTTAGATGTATGTGTGAAAAGCCTTAAGCTTAATAAGACTTGAGAATCATTTGCAACCCTGCGGGTATAAAAACCATAAGAAACAGCATTTTTGTAACTGTTCATTTAGGTTTTTTACAAAGCTAGTTTGTTTCGGTTCTGATGTCTATAAACATGACTTGGTAATTGACTTTGTACCAAAGTGTGTGTTTGGTTTTTTTTTTTCTGGGTAGTCAAAGGGCAATTCATACAGAGATGGAATCTGAGATCTTGACAGAATTTGCCTTTTTCAGTTCTGTAGTACCCGAAGATGGAATTTCGCATTGAACACACCTGGGATGGTTTGCCTGTGAGCCACGAGCCGGTTTCAATTGGGCTGAGGCCGGGTAATGCAGGATTGCTGATGGAAGTTCGTGCTCCTTTCTTTAATGACCCTCCAGCACCTCCCGGGGAGCCAGGGAAACCTTTTGGTGGACTCTGGGACTATGAGGGTAAGTGTAACTCTTCTGCAAGTATATCTGATTTCTGTAGACACTGGTCTTTCTCTGTATTTCATATGCCTGGTCTTTTTTTTAAGAGACTTCTTAATCTGTGATAGTTTTTTTTTTTTCCAAAACAACCCCAAAATCAGAGTTCAGTAATCTGTGTTGATTTCAATAATTTTGAAGTTGACTTCCTGATCCTGTCAATACTATCTGCACTCAAACTTAGGTTTTGGGTTACTGATGCAACTTGTGAACTATCAGAGGCTTGACATATTTGAGTATCAAAATAATTTTGTGGCATATATATATATGTAAATGCCCTTGTGGCAGGAGAAGTGAAATCCTAAAGACTGTTTCTGCTTTTGCTTTAAGAAGTGGAGTGTTTTAATCATTTTTCCAAAGTTCCTTTGAGGAATGGGAAAGTGTGAAACCTAGAGATTACACCTCATGAAATGCAGTTCAAATTGTACCTAAATGAAATGGGGCAAACTCTCATAGTAGTGCTGGGTGTTTTCTCCTTTCCTGTCCATACAGTCACTTTTACCCACTGCTTTGAGTAAAGCAAGCCTTGAATATTTCTAGCAGTCCCTTACATCCTGATTTTTGAGCTATTCTGATTCAAACTCTACTAAAATGGTATTAACACCTCTTTGGTGTTATTATAATAAATATGCTTAAGTAAAAATAAATAAAGGTGTCAGTCATATCATAATTCAAACTGAAGTTTTCTAATAATGTCGTTGCTGTGAGAAGCACTGTTGTAATTTTACATGAGAAACACCATTGTAGTTCTGTTTTGTGTTCCTGAAATGTGATTCAGCATTCAAGTACAGCTTCAATGTGAGTACAAATGTGTGCTGCTTTCAAGTACACCTGGAACAGTAATCCTCTATCCAAAATATCCCTCTACAGGGAAAAACCATTCAAGAGCTAAGTGCTTTCTTATGATTTTTGAGATTTAACAGTTTTAGTTACAGGGTGTGTGCCCTGCTCAGAATGTGTGAACTACTTTCCCTTATTTTCCTGCTGCATCAAGCTAAGTGTTTTCAAAACTGGGATTGGTAAAGCTAATAAAGCCAGTACAGTACTTTACAAAGCTCTTTGTGATCACAGCAATTAAAAATAGGAGCTCCTGAAGCTGGAATTGTGGCACAGCATTTTGAATATTTGGGTTGTAGTTACTGTGTATGTGTCAGTTACTGTCTGTTACAGTAGCGAGTCAGGCTCTGCCATGGCACAGGTCCAAACCCATAAAAGTTCAGTTGTATTAATGGGATATGAAGATCTCAGGATATTACAGTTTAGTTTATATAAAATACTGACAGCTTGTTTGTTTGTTTTTTTTTTAATTTTTTTTGTTTGGTTTGTTTTTTTTTCAGTTGTAGAAGCCTTCTTTCTGAGTGACAGAACTGAGCAGTATTTGGAAGTTGAGCTTTGTCCGTAAGTATAGCACTTAAAAATAAAATAAAAAATCCCAAAAGTTAATTTACACTTGCAGTTCTAATGCTTGTGAGACACATGTATGAGGGGGACTAGACACAGAAATTGTGTTAGTATGGGGAATGTACATATTTGGGGTGGTATAATGCCCTTGGCATATAACTTGACATAATTTTAGGAAAACTGTGCTCTGATTCTTTGACAGCCACGGGCAGTACTTACTGCTGCTGCTTTCTGGCAGAAGAAAAGCATGGAAAGTAAGTGCTCAAGTACACTCAAAATGATTTTTATTTAACTACTTCCTCATCAAAAGATAGCCAGTACCTCTTATTTAATTTTTTTCCCTCCTTTAACAGGAAGAACTTCCTTTGGAGTTTGAGGTGACCAGAATGAAAACCAAATGGGAGGGTAAAGCTCTTCTCCCTTGGAGTTATTTTCCACCATGCACTGACAAGTTCAATGCATTTGCAATTCATGGCTCGGGAGAAGAGAGAAAATATGAAGCACTTTATCCTGTGCCTCCACACCAAGTGCAGGAAGGACAGGAACCAGATTTGTAAGCATAAAATGACCCCTTCTGTAAAAGGGTTGCACTCTTGTTGGAATACTTGAAAAAGCTCATCTGGTCTTTGAATGCCCTTAATATTTTTATTATGGTACTTAGCTCTGGATTCACTGCTGCTGGACTTTGTATAAAGTACTGTAGTTAGTCCTTGGTTTCCATGATAGGGGCATAGAAAGTTACACTTTCAGTACCATTGGTATCTGCTTTTATCACCTTTCTCATCTAAATCATGGGTAGGTAGTTCTACTTTTCCTTCTTGACTTCAGCTCCTCCTGAGGTGCTGTTTTAGTGATAATTTCATTGGATACATTTCCAGTAAATCTCTTCTGCTCCTCCCCTACTGCTCTGAAAGCTTTCACCTCTACAGATGATTCCATGCTATGGAAAAAATTGAAAAGGCAGACTAAACAAAACAACAAAAAAAACCCCCAAAAAATATTAAACCAGCAAATTTGGATTTTTGATTTTTAAATTGTGCTTTGAGCCTGTTTATTTTCTTTGCCTGTGAGGCTGAGATGATCTGATAAAACCTGTTACTCCTGGGTATTTTTTATAAGTGAACCAGCTCTAGAGACACACCATAGCTCTTAAAAAAATTGTCAGACAACATAAGTGATGGTGAGGTAGGGTAAATTTTTGATAAATTAGCCTTTATTTAAGAAAATTAGGCTTCTGCAGTTGTATATTAAAAAATCTGAGCTATTGCTAATAAAGCACATCAGTATTCTTTGACAAAGGGAAATTTTTATTTTTATTTATTGCACTGGAGAATGGCTGTAATACCTTTTAAGAGGGAGTTCTTTCTGTAGTACCCCTTTAAAAAAAACCCTTGTCTTTTTCAGATGTTGGTAGCAGATGAAATTGTGTGAGGAGACTGTTCCTTGCTGTTTTCATTACTCTGTTTGTCTTTGCTCTTACAGATAACTACAAAAGTTAGGACTTTGTTTATTTCTCTTTTGTTTGCAGTCATCGTTTGGAGTTTTTCAAAAACTTGAACCTGAAAGCACTAACAGGAGAAGACTGGAAGCAGCCTGAATCAGATATATGGGAATCTCTCACTAAATGAATGGATTGGGGCATAAATTTTTGTGATGTTGAAGTTGGCTGAAGCTGTGTGGGAACAACTTCCTCATTCTGAGCAGAGGTTGTAGGTACCAGATTAGCAAGGCTTTCCTTGGCACCAAAATCATGGATCAGTCTGAAAATCAACTGCAAAGCTTGTGGATCTGTTGGTTCTGAATGTATGAATGGCTTGGAGTTTTTCATCTGTGCAAGAGGTGAATGTGCTGCTGCCAGTGCAGGAAGAGAAATGTGCTGAAATGGCAGCTGTGCTTTTGTGAGAGCTCTGAAGTCTGATAAGGCCAATACCAGGGTTGAGTTTTTTTGGTTTGCTGCATTTCTGTTGTATTTTAACTGCTGCTTGTTTGTTTGTTGATTGCTGAAGGTGATCCTTATGTGCCTAGACTTTTTGCTTACAATCAGGAGGAAGAAAAAATGGATTTTGGAGGCTCAGTACTTGCCCTGCAAGGGGGATAACACTGCCCTTTCCTGTATGTTCCTGTGCCTGAAGTTTTCCCTTGGTTAATGTTCAAAGGGGAATTATTATCTCACAGACCTCTCTGTGGAGTTTCTAATGGTGTTTGAGTGCAGAGGATAGATTTACAAAAGGCTTTATGTATTTCAGGTGAAGTTTTTGGGACAAATCATGCTCAGTAAAATCTTGTGGTATAGTTGTGTGCATGCAAAAGCAGGTTTTTTTTTTCTAAGACTTGTTACATCACTTCAAGAATTCATCTTGGATGTCTGAAGATATTTTTTTTGGCATACCACTGAGGGCTGGAGATACTGCAGGTGTATATTTCTGTGTATGGGCATGAGTCATTTTAACAACAGTGAATATTCCTAGGTGGCAACAGCTAATCTGTAAACCCTCACAAGATTTACCAATCTTATGTTCCTTTTCTTTGTCTAGCATAGCAATTGCTGCTTGATTGTGGCTGCTGATTTAATCTTCTATAAATAAACTTTAAAAATGTGAAGCTTGCCCACGACTTAGATCCTTGCCAGGATGCAGTAATAAACACCTTTTGATGGTCCTATTTTCTTTGCTGTCTTTCAGCTGAACTCTAGCTGTAAGTTCTGCTTGAGAAGAAGTTGGGAATATCTCACTTTTGTGAAGAACATCTCAGTGTGGTTAATATCTGGGATAAACTGAACTAGCATGCTTTGTTTAGCTTTAGATTCTGTCTTTGTGCTTTCAGTTTTATAGACCTGTGCTTTCAGATTTGAAGATATGAATAGGTTTTTTTTTCCTGTGGCAGACTTTGGCATGTCAGTGCACTCAGCCATCCAATTTGCTCTGTTTCAATTAGGCACTATAGGTTCCTTGCTGTAAAGTGCCATCTGTTGAAAATTGTAAGTATTGTACAATCAGTTGTTTGGCTTCTTTTCTACCTTCTTTCCAGGTACAGTTTTCTAAAGAATGACATCAGTCTGAAATATTCAGTAATTCAATAGATATTGATTAAAGCATTATCTAGACATTGATGCCTCAAAGCTGCTTAAAAAATTTTAGTCAAAACCAAAATGCCATTTTGCAAAACTTTTAGACTTTATTTTGAAAAATTTGTGAAAAAACTGTGTGCGAAGATTCAAATTGGGTGTACTGCTTTTCTCACAGAGGTTGTTTTCATCTGAGGAATGATACTTTGTATGTAAAGGACAGTAAATAAAATTTTTCATTTATCTCTTGTTTATTCCTACTCCAAACTGACTGCTTCAGATTTGACTTTGGATGTAAATGATGAACCTGGAGGGAAATCGATTTTTTTCCCCAAATAAGTAATTGACAATAAAACCATCATCCTTGCAGTATGACATGCAAATGCTAGGTGCTCCAGAAAGTGGAAATGATATTTGCACTCCCAAAGACCTTGTTCTTTTTGCTTCTTGCCACTAGGTGGGAGAAGAAGGTTGTCTAAACTGTGCCTTGGTGCTGCCAGCCCTAGTTGTCCTTAACCAGATCCATTCCTTCTTGCTGTATCCTTGATTTAGAAAAAGGATGTTTCAGTCAAGCTGATGATGGCGTATTTTGGTTTATTTGAGACATCTTTGTTGCAAGAAACACTTATCATGCTGTGCAGTTACAGTTCTAATGTTTGCTTTCCTGCAGGGCTATTGTCAAAAATAATTTTTGAGACAAAACCAATGGAAGATAAATTCCACAAGGTGTCAGTCAATCTGTAGTATAAAAGTAGTTTTGTGGTGTTCAAATGATTTGTGTTGTTCTGGATTAAATTTTTTATGCCAATGTCAGGGATAGTCTCTGGCCAACTTTGCAAAAAGGCTGTTTTGAATTCTGAAGGAATTGATTTCTTTTAATATAGCCTGTTTTGTGAGAGGTGGTGCATCCCCTCAAGGGTGAGGCTTCAGTGGTTCAAACAACCTGCAGTAAAACAACACAAGAACTGTGGTTTAAGAGGGGTAGAAAATTCTTTTTTTTCAATACAAAAATGAAAAAAAAAGTAAACTGGAATGGTAACTTTTGTTACTGTTAGAAGTGACTTGTACCTTTAATACAAAGCTGGAGCAACTTAAACTGTCAGCTAATATCTAATATTTCTTGTAATGATCCTGTACATTTTGGAGGCAAAAGCTCTTAACAGGAGTAAAATTTTGCTCATGTCTTTGTATACTTCTAAATATTTTTTTCTGATATGCCAGGTCAGACATTAGAGCTAGGAAGCTCTAATTTCATTCAGGACTCTATATATTTTGACTGCTATAGCTGATACAGCTACTGCATTATCTGTTCTAGTTATTAGATGAGTGAGTTAATATTTGTACTGCCCAGCACCATGATGAGAAGTTCCTGCTGAATGTGATGTGAAGTACCATGTTGCTTGCAGTTCCTTTCTTCAAGGCTGTTTTGTGCCTCTGAAAGGCACAGCACAGAATGTTTTGTGTTTTAAATTCTGACCATGTAAAAATCCTTTGGAAATGTGAATGGCACAGTGCATAATTTGCTGCGCATAAAGTTTAAAAGATTTCTTCCCTGGTACCAGGGCAATCTCTAAAGTGGAATTCATTGCATTTAATTATGGTACTTTTAGAATAATGGTGCTGAAATTTGATAGTTAACCTGCATTTATTTAGTTGGTGATTCCCTTCTTTTTTCTTTTGCTGAGTGCTTTGGTTTACTACGGTGTCTCTGAGCAGTGCTTCAGCAAAAGTACAGGGAAGTGTGTGTTAAGCCTGATTTATTTGCACAGGTTGTATAAACAGCTGTGTATAAACACATAAACAGCCTCAGTGAGATAATACAACACTTACCATAAACTGTATTGCAGTTAGGCCTTTTTCCATCTACTTGTCTGTCTGCTGAAATTAGTATTGTCAGGAGAATTCTGTTCTGTCCAAGCTTGTTTTCATTATTCTGTTCCTAAACAAGTAAAAGCCTTGGCTGCAGGGGGTCTGTGGGAGGCTTTCCAGTGATGGATCAGGAGGCACTGTTTGTATCTGCACTGGCTATGAACGTACCAAAATATTTTCCTGTTTCATTTTCAGAAATTATGCTGTAGACTCTCACAAAGTGTGTGTGTAAATACTGTCTGCCAGTTATGTAGTGTATTTGCAAATACAAATGTATTTTTAAATGTGGTAGCCCAGAACTGACTAAGTAGTGTTAAAATACCTGAAGTAAACGTTACTTCAGTAAAATTAAATTTCCATGTCCTCACTGCTGTTTTAAAACCAGCCCAGCCAGACTAGTCCCGTGGCTTTCTTGGAAGATGGAACAGATTCTTGTAGGGGAAAACAGAACAGTTTTCAGATGTTACCTTTTTATAATACAGAAATTCCCTCTGTAGAGCACATTTGTTGCCAATTTAATCTTGCCTTTCATTTCATGAGTTATTTCTCTTGAACTCAGCCTCTGCAGGCAATGAAATTTATATCTTGGTGCCACTAGTAGCTGTCATAAAATTATTCATCTCTAATTCTAGGCAATGTAATTGGTTCACTTCTTACTGCTGAGTTTGCTTCCTTCAGCAAATGAAACTGTTTGGAAACTGGTACTTCTCAGTGCTTTATAGCTTATACAAGCCATGGTATTTATGTTTAATACTGTCTGGCACTTTAAAGAACTGGTTCTTGTTTTAAAGTTGCATATTAGTTTCCTAAATGTTAACAGGGCGGGCTGTAACCTCTTATGCCAAGCATCTGCTTTAAACCTTTTTAATTTCAGCAAAATATTTAGTGGTTTTAGAGGAAGGGTAGTTCATCATGTCAGAAGACAGAACTGTGGTCTTGTACCTTCTTGAATTCCTCTGACTTCTGGAATGAAATGTTGGGACTTGGTGAGAGGTCCATATTGTCAGGAGTCTTTTTGTAATTTCTGTGAAGCAGCTTTTCAGAAGTTTCAGAAGAGCACAGCTTGAGAGGTGAATTCTCTGCAGAGTCTGCTGGGAGCAGGAATCCACCTCTGGCAGGTGGAATTGCCAGGGTTTGGCTTTGTCAGTGGGAAGTGTTCTTTGTGCCTGGCAGGGGCAGGTTCTGGGATGGGGAATGCCCTTTGATTGGGAGCACCTGCTGCTCAGGCTGGGGCTGCCTTCAGCCATGCTGGGAGCAGAGGAAGGTGATATTTCCCTTTACACTCTGCTGCCACTGTGTGCTTGAGAAGGTTCTGTGGACTCAGTGGGAGGCTGACTGCAAAAGGTACATGGCAGAAAGATGAAGGGGTGGGTTTAAAGTATATAAAATCAGATTAAAGAAATCCTCTCAGCATAAATTTGAATTTGGGAGTGTGATAAGTGTGTGCTCTTTTCCTTACTCTTTTTTAGGCATCTACCTATGTAAAAAGATGACTGTGCTGGAAGCATTGTTGGCTGGAAATATTGCAGCTATTCTTGTAGCTGGAAACCCAACTGAAGGGATTGTTTTGTGATTCCCTGCAGTGGTTTCTCATTACTTACAGGCTATACTAGAGCTGTGTGCTAATAGCTGGGGGCCAAGCAGAGCTCCTTGCTGATGTTCTCAAAACTCTCTTGCTGAGCAAAAGTAGTGAGAAGTGGAAGCAGAAAGCTGCCAGAATTCAGGGAATTGGGAAGCTCAGAGCTTGCTGTTGTGGGCTAAGTGCAAACCATAAATGAGGAGGGAAGAGAAATCTCCATGTGTCTTGCTGGTAACAGATTCATTCTCTTCATGCTCCCTCTAGGGTGAAGTGAGAGTACAGCATAAATCAAAGAATTGTTAAGGCTGGAAAAGATCCCTGAGGTTGAGTCTAGCTGTGAACCTAACCCTGCCATGTTCAACACTATCCCATGTCCCCATGTGCCACAATCACACATTTTTTGAAGGCTTCCAGGGACTGTGGTGGTTCCATCACTTTGCTGGACGACCTGTTCCAGTTTCTTGAACTGGGCAGGCAGTTCTGGTTCCTGTGTGATCACCCTCTCAGTGAAGTTCACATGATGCATGTTGTTCAGTGGAGTGTAGGATCATACAGCCATAGGCTAGAAATTAAATATAACATGTGTAAGGCTGGAGAGCACTTGCTCACCTCTGAACTCTTGAGAAGCTGATGCCACAATGCCTTTCTGTGCTCCTTTATATTCTTGGATGGATCCTTTCAGTCACCTCTGCAGGCTCTTTTGTGCTGAAGACAATAGGTGAAGTGCTACCAGCCTGTATATCACAAATCACTGTTCAAACTAACATTAATCATATTTCCTTACATTCTTAAATAGGTCTGACTATCTTATTTGTTTTTTGAAATTGCTGATAAAATATGTGTAGAAGGCAAGAGTCAAGTCTTCCTTGAAGGAATCTCATGCATCAAACTCTGTCAGATGATTGTTAATATTGTTCTTTGAGTAGGAAGTGGGGACTATATTTTATCTGTTCGGGTACTGTTGATGAGATGGTCATTAGAGAAGATTTTGGCACGAAAAATGGTTTTGGATTTTAAGTGCAGGCTGTTGCCTAAAAGGAGACATCTTTATCTTGCCAGTGCTTTTGGCTTGACCTGTCTTTTTCTGCTCACAGTAGAATTTTTCAAGTTACAAAATGAGTCCTTAAAGACAAGGGGAATTCTTTTATATACTGGAATATCCTTCAGACTTGAGTCCATTTCCACATGCTGCACCTCTCAAGTGTCAAGACTTATTGAGATTTAATGTGTAGGATTGGAAAAGAATGTCTGAGCTAATGAGAAGTGGATTTTTTCCCCCTTTTTATTTCTGCACCTGTTTAGGTATAATAGAGAAGTAAATGGACTGCTTTCCATATCAGTTAGTCTGTCTATTTGATGCTTGTGTGAGGCCCTCCAGATTAATTAGCAGGTTTAGTAAATGATACAGCAAAGACTAATCACATTCTGCATGTGTTAGCTTCAGAGTGCCAAGTCTTTGCTCTCACCCTCCTGAGTCTACGATGCCTGTAGTGCTCCAAATCCTGATGGCCTTGCTTATAAGATGTGCAATTTATCTGTTAAAATGAGGGCTATTGCACAGATCCTGTATCACCTGCACTGACTGACTGCTTGGTGCTCACTGTGATGTGATATGCTGAGTAAATAACCTCTTTGGTTGTTAACACCTTCTCCCTCTGTGTGTATATATATATAAATATATATATATGTATAATACATCTATATATATAAACATAAATATAGATGTATTCTGAAAGTCTTCTGTAATTTTCAACAATGCCTGCTTTTTTTCTGATGAAATCTATTTTTTCCTGAT